ATGAACTCAGAGAGTGAAACTCCCGTGGACGAACTCCTGGCCGCCCAACAAACCCTGGCATGAGCCGATACCCCGGTAAACACCGACAAACGACGGCTTGCCACGGTTTCAACGTGGCGCGAAATGGACTTTGTTTATCCATAGTATCATGGCCATCAAACTTCAATGTGTGATCCTTCTGAAAGGAAACCAAAAGGACAATCACCGTGTATATACATGTGTATATGCATATGTATACACACATTTATACTCTTGATTTTTCTGTTTTTCTTTTTGGGGAAAGGAACATCAACATAACTCTTCTTTCTTGTTTAGTTTTTGCGGGGCTGAAAAAAAGACGCCCCCCCCCAACGGAGAACCCCTGCCTTGCACCACCAGGCCATGCTCATCATGTTCGTCGATCGATGCGCACATCCGCAGCACAGCAAGGAACAGCGGCCTCTCGAGGAAAAGGCCGAGCAAATCGATTGCCTCGAGGCAGCCCAAGGGTCTCCTGCCCATTTGGATCTTGGTGCGCCATTTTTAGAAAATACCCGTTCATTTCGAGACTTCTTATTGCATGTGATAGCCCAAAAGATGTCCGGATGTTGGCGTACCCTTCTTTTGCCTGCTGAACCTCCCACTAACATGGAACCTCACTGTGGCCTGAAAGATGACATCCTCAGGGGCCCTCAGGTGAAAAGTTGGCCGGACAAGAGCCGCCTGTTTTTCTTGAAACCGCGGACGTTTCCCGAAAGATAAAACTGGTTCCTCACCGGAACCCGCAAGAAATCTTGCTGGCATAGCCGGTGGAATCCTACCTATCGGGCGAAACAACCTGAAGCACAACCTCCAGACGGGCCCCCGCTGCTCGCCAGCACAAGCAATGAACATAGAAGCCACAACTTGACGCAACCAGAAGCAACGCAACGAGAAAAAACTGAACTTTTTGTTCGCCAATGGGCAAGGTGGGGCGGGGGGCTGATGGGGCTGATGCTCTGGGACAATCGATATCATATTCAAAATGCAAGCATCAATACCATGCAAGGGGATCCTCAGGCTGATTCCGATGGACGCACCGAGTGCAACTCCAAACGCACGGGAAACAATTGCGGGGGCAAAGCGACAACTCGTCACGCGGGCGGGAAAGACAACAATGGTTGCACCCTCACCTTCCCCTAGCTGGTGATTTTGTTTGGTTTGGACGTTAGGGGGGTCTTCCTCTGGCCTCAAAAGGAGCTTGCTGCCCAGCGATGCTATAGGCAGCTCGGGCCCAAAAAAAGAAAGCATCTGGCTTCAAAACGAGCTGGGGCTCAAATTCCCCAAACCACCAAGTAACCTCAACAGGGGCGAACCCAATTCCTGCAAAATGGCCCCGAAAGGTGTCCGCCATGCAAGCCCATACAACCCACCCAACAAACAAAAAGCAAAGACGGAAAAGAAAAAAAATAAACACACAGACCACTAAAGAAAAAGAAAGAAAGAACACACAAACACACAGACACAAGAAACACACACAAAACAAACACACACAAAAAACAACTTACAGAAAGAAGCTTCGCCGCGCCAGGCGTTTCTCCGCGGATTTCTTTCGCTTTCCCCACAAAAAAATCGCCTCAGGTGCTGATCCTCCAAGGCCGCCAGGCAATGGGCCAGCAGGGAACCATCAGCTCGCCCAGAGGGCAAGGCCTCCAGCAGCCTCGGGGGGGCAAAAACAAAACCAAAGCTGACCGAACCGAACCGAACCGACTGGGGTTGATTAAAAGGGGTCAACATTGGCAGCTTAAAATCAACTCAGCTTCCCTCTTTGTTTGGCGGTTTGAATCCAACCAACCAAACCAAACCAAACCAACCAATACCCAAGCTACCGGAAAACAAAACGCGGCAACGCTTCTTTTAGGGCTGGTTCTTTTTTGGTGATTTATTTTGGGAAACCAAACGAAGAGCCGGAGCCACCAGAATCGGATTGGTCTGATTCCTACTGTGATGGACGACTTCCATTTCGCACCACTTTGGGCATCATGGTTGACACCATTGTTTGATGTGGAATTTACAGGGGAATCGCTCATCACCACGGGGTGTCTCCAAATCCAAGCCAAAGGGCGATCGAGGGCTACCAGTAGCATGGTTCTGGGAGACATCGCCCGAGATCTGTGATAATCAAAGTGGTGAATCGACTCATTCCAGGGATTCTGAACGGCGGTGCGAAATGGATTTCGTCCATCCACAGTAGGGGATTGTTTATAGGGGTCATTCCCTGATTCCCTGCCGAGCACCAGCACGGTAAGGAATGTGGGAATGAACCCAGGGGTCCCTTTAAAGGAAACCACAAGGGATGGTTTATAACCACAAGGGATTCTGTTCATCCACACTATCACAAACTTTCGCCCCAAGCCAAGCTGCTGCAACGCCCTTGCCCACTGGGAGGTGTCTGCATAGGCCTAGGGGTGGGCCAACCCCCTGTAACTTAACATCGCTCATAGTGAGGCAACCTCTTTGGGGGTTTGCTTGGCACACATCTGGGGTAAACAGCAAATCATATGTTCTGATCCTGCTCCATAGTTTGTCTGCCCTAATATATATATATATATATATATATACACACATCATATATATATATATATATGACTTTGTATATATATATATACAACTATATACATACAGTGTATAGTTATAATATATATATATATAACTGTGCACATGTGTATATATATATGTCATATTAACTGTGTATATATATACATATCTCACCTTATATACAACTATATAACTATATATGTATACACCTCTATTTCTATACTCACCCTGGGATGTTTTTGGTCGCCCCCGCCTTGAACACCGCGTCCGCGGCGACGAGGTCCACTTCCTCCAGGCGGTTGAAGGCGCTGAGGCTCTGCTGCCAGGCCAAACCCTGACCGTAGGCCCTGAGAGAAAGTGGGGCCGTTTCCTACCCCCCCCCCCCCGAATAAAACAATAAATAAATAAAATACAATTAAAATAGATAAAACATACAAAGGATAACATGTGATTTTCCTTTTGGTTTCCTGTCAGAAGGATCACACATTGGAGTTTGATGGCCATGATACTGTGGATGGTTGCGAAATCTATTTCGCACCACTTTGAAACCAGGGTTGAAACCATAACGTTGGTTGGTATTTACAGGGGAATCATCGTTCTAGGGTTTGTTGGGTGGTGCGCAGTAGGTGTCCTTTCAGGGGCAAATAGATGGGTTTCCCTGGTACGTGATGAAAAACCACCAGGTGAACCAGGGAACGCCATCTATTTTTCGAAGCCAAGCAGCCAAAAAGGACACCTATGCGCTTGACACGGTCCCCCCCCAAAAAAAAAACCTCTCTCAGAAAGAAACCCCGCTCATTTGACGGGGGCAGCCGAAAAAAACCAACGGGCTCTTCGCCATTTGAGTCACAATGAAAGCCCGCAAAGTTGGGCCGTTTCGCACGGTCCAGCAACCCGCTCAGTTGAGTGACGGCGCGATACAAAAGTCAAGGGGGATTTCCACCAATGACCAAACCTGGTACTAAATGGTCTACCCAAATCCAAAAAAAAAAAAAAACATGGAAAGGTGGGGATTCGACGACCCTCCAATTACAAGCAACCAGCCTGGTTGTTCACCAATGACCCCAACAAACAAAGAGCAGAGCGGTAAAGTTGTATAGTATTACTATGGTATCAGTATAGTAGAGGACAGTATTTGTATAGGTTGTGTTTCTCACCCATCTGCAAATTTGCCATAATTCCAAAACCTGAAATAAGATCCCCGGGAAAAGGTTTTTTTTTCCATGGTGAGCTCGTCGTAAATTATGCAGAACCAAGGACCAACCGTTTCAACACCTGTCTTGAACCCATGCTCTGAGCAGTTAGAATTGTCCCTTGCAGGGTAGCCAAATACCGGATACCTTTTTCACCTTAAGAGAAACCAACTAACAAACAAAGAAGTAAAATTAAAACCGCAACCAGAACAAAAAACATGGGGGGTGGTTCATCCCTTTGTCGCATTTTCGCCATTTCGGCCTGGCCAGCCCCGCCACCTCGGCCGCCGTCCGTCCGTTCGCCAGCAGCCGCACCGCGCGCTGCCACAGCTTGGCCGAGGCGCAGGCCGACGCGGCGAGGGCCAGCGCGTCCGCGCCGGCCGAGGCGGAGTCGAGGTCCTGCGTTGAAATCCCCCGGAGGGTTTGCGAGGGCAAACCAACAGCCAGACATGGAAGTTGGAGAAGGACACATCAGGGCTTACTGGCTTACTGAATGAAGGGTACATACACATCAACAGCAAACTGCAAAAATGTTCATTTAATGCCACACTCAACACAAAGGAAACGTTCGGAAACTCTACAACCCCACGTTGGGTTCCTTTTTGGGCTGTTTAGTTTGGTGCGCTGTTAGTTTGCAAGGGGAAACCAAAAGGAGACCAAGGCGCGTGCACGCCCGAAATGCGCGATACAGCGGGAGTCTCATCCTCATCCTCATCCAAACAGGCAACTAAGGGGAAGAAACCGCCCGTTTCAGTTGGATTAAATTGTTTAAAGCAAAGGAGTTTCTGGGACTCCTTGTTTCGGCAGAAATGTGTTTGTGTCCCCATCCTCTTGATGTTCCTGCAACCTCATCCCAAAAGTGGCTTTCAAAAAACGGCACACCCAAACAGGTGTGTCTTCTTCGGAGGGAACCTCCAATAGAACTGGGCCCCTTTTGGTTTCCCTTTCAGACAAAGCCGGATGCCTTCCAACAATATATCAAACCACGAAACCCGCACATATCCGACAACCCAAAAAAACGTGTGTGCCTTCCAAAAAAGAACGAACAGCACGAAGCCCACAACATATCCAAACAACCCCAAAGCCCAAAAACACAGCATGCCTTTCCTCCCCAAAAACACGAAACCCACAACCTCCCCGGTCACAAAACCTTACCTCCCCCCAAAAAACACACACACACACAAATTACACATCCAGCCGGGTCCACCAGCTGGAGGCACTGCTCCCAGCGCCAGGCGCGCTCGCAGGCCCTCAGCGCAGCCCCCAAGCGCGCCGCGTCCGCCGCGTCCGCCGCGCGCAGCGCCGCGCGCCACGGGGCGCGGCACAGCGCCGCGGCCGCGGCGCTTCGGGCGGAGGCAGTGCCTCGCTCGCGGCTCGCGGGAAGCGAGCGAGGCGAGGCGGAAAGGCGGGGGGGGGTGGAGTAGAGGTGACCCAACGAACGAATCCGGGTCTCCAAGCACTGAGTGCGCGAAATGTTGGGGAGCTTTGGGGGTGGCCAACTAAACAAAGGCACAGCAACAACAAAATTTGACTGAAATTCAATGAATCCCCAAAAGGTAATAGGGGAAAGATGGGAGTTAATTTCAACTGGGGACCCTTTGGACATCAGTTAGGTGACGTGTCATGTCAACCATTGATTGGATCATCAAAGTTCTCAACCAATTGCCCACAACTTCAAATTTCCAAAGCCAATCCAAACCACAAAGTAAGGGCTGCTGGCTCGATTCTGGGAAACCCGAAATCCGTGATGCCGAAGTGGAGCCCTTGCGGCTTTCTCAGTTGGGGGGTGCCCTTGGCATCACGAAAACTTGCCCTAAAACCCAGTTCCTTCGTTTGAACCAAGCCATTCCGTCAAAGATATCAGGTGCCACAAGCCCCTTACACGCGTGTCTGTGAGAAGGGGTGGAGGAATCCCACTTACGCTTCAAAAGTGTTAGATTTGGGCTTCATTGGCCCGAGCAACAAGTCCCCAACCCCGCTCCTGCAACGCCCAAAGTCTCCACCGCGCTCTCCAAAAGGGCGAGGGCCTGCTGCCACTGAGTGCCCACGGCAACCTGAGCTTGGCGATGATTGTACTACTCAGTTGCCCGAAGGACCCAAAAATAGAAGGTTTACCTTTTGGAGGTTTCGCTAAAAACAAATTGTAAAACAAGAGGAAAACCAAAAGCTCGAAAGGTGGGCGTTGCACGGGTCTATATATAATTACAATGGGATTGTGGGCTACTGTAAATTCATAGTCATGAGTAGAGGGGTAGAGAATAAAATACCACCTGCCCAAAGCCTTTAGCTCTTTGTTTAATGCGAAAACATTGATACCAACAAGTTCCGGGTTCAAGATCCAACCCAGCAGCCAAGGCTTGCTCGAGGAAAACGGGAGGAAACCCGTCCACCCCCGAAAACTGTCTGGAAACCCCTAAAGTCTTGTAAAGTCACCAAAGCGTTCCTCACTTCCTGAGTGGATCGACCAACAAAAGTCCAAGAACTTTCTGCCTACCACTAAAGTGGCAACCAACCTAAAAAGTGACTAAAGTCCGAAACAAAACTCGGTAAGTGAGTCGCTTTCTACAGGCTTCACTGAAAGGCTGTGTGTTTCCTACTCGGCGCCAACTCAGGAAGTGAGGCTCAGCCGCCCCGTGAAGGGAAACAAAGGGCATCCTGTCTTGGGTTGGTTGAGTTTTGTCAGGGGAACCCTCCCCCTGTGTATAAAAAGGAAAAAAAAGGCGGAATCCAGTGGACAACTGGGGATTCCTCAGTTAAATACTGACCAAGGGGCCAAAACGCATTTTGAGGCAACCCCATTTTCAGGAACTCAAAAAAAACAAACAACAAAATACAAGCGAGCTTCCTTTTGGACCCAAACGTACCACAAAAATACAAAGAATATGAACTCTTGAGCCCAAAACTGCCCCAAACAAATCCTCACGTCGTCACGACGTCGTCCGTGCCGAAGCGACGATGGCAGTGCTGAAGCTGGCGTCATCGCACGCCAGGCGCCGCAGGCCCATGCCGCACAGGAGCTCCAGGCAGAGCTGCCACTGCCCGGCTCGCGCACAGCCTCGGAGGAGAGAGACTTGCATGCCGTGCTTTTCGCTTTCGCGGTGGTTGCCCAAAAAGCATGGAGATGTTTTCGGCATTTCTTTGTTTCTTTTCAAACAAATGACGCTTTTTGCCGTTTCCCCCCCCCCAAAAAAAAAAAGTTTGGCCTGTCACTTTCTGTTCTTTCAAAAAATGCATGAAGATGTTTTAGGCATTGCTTTAGTTTCTTTTAAAAAGGAATGGAAGAGTTGGGCATTTATGTTTTTCCAACCTTCGGCCAAAGCATATTTGTAAGCAGCCACCTCCTGCCCAACATGTTCATTATGTTTTCCCCACCAAAAAAAGAAACTGAAGACTTTGGCATTTTTTGTAAAAACGAACACGAACAAACATGACAAGACTGTACAAAAAACAAACCCCATATAGGGGTGGTTCCTTTTTCAGGAGGGCCCAAAAAATTATGTTTTCCCTTCAAAACCACCAAAAGAAGAGGACCGACCCGTTGTTCTTAATAAAAACCCAACGCAGTCTGACCCTGGACAACTTGATGGTGCTCAGAAAATGAGCTGGAATGACCGAGAAAAATCATCCCCTATGATTTCCTTTCAGGAAATCCCCTTCATCCGGTTCATTCCCGTGTTCAACACCCTGGGTGATTCCCTGCAGCAAAACAAGCTCGAACTCTGAGAAGCTTTCCGGCCCTGGGGGGCCCTAGCCGAGGACATCGTAGAGAAGGCCTTCTCAAGGGGAAACAACAAGAACTTGAGCCACATCTTGCGTGCATTTCTTTTCTGAGTCTGTGTCACCTTTTTCTGCCTACCCTCTGTTCTATATATACCAACAAACGTTCTTGGATCTCTGCCCGCAGCATTTTGGTCATTTCCCCCCCCCCCCCCCCCAGCGCCTATAGCAACGCTGGAAAAAAAATAGTTCAGCGGCTCGCGCGCATGAGCCTTTCCTCGCCAGGCAGCCGTTCATCACGGCGTTGCAGAGCTGTAGGTGCCAAGCCCCCTATCGCAACGCGACACTCCGGTGGACTTGGTTTGTTTCACCTCTAGGTGACCTTTTGGAGAAAGGTAGATGCGACAGCACTCCGGTGGACTTGGTTTGTTTCACTTGGCTCTAGGTGAGCTTTTGGAGTTTGGAGAGATGGAGAGATGGCAAAGGGAGGGTGCCAAATCCAAACCAGTGCACCCCAGGTAAACCTAACCAAACTAACCTAAGAAGGACACCTATGCTTGCTCTCCTTGGCTTCCCTTCATCTATGCACCTGGAGAAGCACACTGAACTGTTATCTGCTGGCCATGTTCAAGCAGCCAAGCAACCATCTGCAAAAATTATACAATGAAGGGACTTTCATGAAACTTGGTTGTTTCATGAAAGGTGGTTGCTCAGGAAGAAGGGGGGCCTCACCCGTCAAAGCCTGGAAGGCTGATGAGTTCAGTTGCTTCTCAAATTGGGGTTGGAAACATGTCTGGGCAAACCTCAGTTTACACAGCTCATGCTTTTCAATCTCGCAATGTTGACAGTCGTACCCTTGGGGCCAAACAATTTGAATTTCATACTGTGGTAAATAACAAAGGGAAGCCACAACCGCATCACACGTTATTTTACTCCCCGACTCCTGTGCCTCTTCCCCTCCCACTCGCCGTTGCGGCGGAACCGGCCGCTGCTGCGGCCACCTTCATTTGCCACAGCGTGGCCCGCCACGGGCCCAGATCAGTCGCAGCATTTGCTGCCAGGGTTTGTGAAAAGTACCTATGGGTTGTCTACAAAACCGGCACTCACAGCTTTGATCTTCGAGTAGTATGTTGTGCCGTCACCCGGGGAAATGTACGCAAAGAAGGGAGGACCAGACCCACCGTGGCGCTTCTTCTCGATTACCTGGAATGGGGCATTCACGCAAATAGCTTGAAGGGGCCAGGGGCTCAAGCAAGCATCATGGATTCTGTTCTTTTTGTCAACTCTAAAAACTGGAAACGATTGACAAACCAGGCCTTCCAGCCGTCAGCTGTTTCCCGTTCGCTGACTATGGCAGCAGGGAGCTTAGCCTTCATCTTGGCAACCTTCTCAAGGGGAAACGGGCCATAAACTGGGCCATCCTCATCCGTCTTCACCTTGGCTTTGCTGACCTTTGCTTTTGAGGCAGGCTTTTTCGCAAGTTGCTCCTCTTGAGGAACATGTTGTTTCGCGGAAAGCCTCCTCCTCTTGGGCTCTTTCTGGCTTTCCTGGTTCACTTTGTTTTGCTCCTCTTTGTCGAGTTCTTTCGTGCCTGCACTTGGCTTTTTGTGTCCTTTTGTGCCCGCACTTGGCTTGCTCTTTTGTTTCTCTTCCTCAGCGTTGTGTCCTTCCGTGCCCGCACTTGGCTTGCACTTTTGTTTCTCTTTTTCTTTCATGCCCGAACTTGGCATTTGTTCCTCTTCCTCGCCTTCTTTCGTGCCCGCACTCTGCTTGCACTTCTTGGGCTGGCTCTTAGCCGCTTTGCTCCTGCCGCTGCCTCTGCCTCTGCCTCTGCTACGGCCTCTTTGTTGACTTTTCAGGGTGGGCCGTTCTTCAGTCTCGGATTCTTCCAAGGCCTCAACGCTCCGCTGACCCCCGCTGCTGTTTGCTGCCTCGCTGGCCACTTGGCGAGAAGCAGCGGGGCTGTGGAACGGCTTTTGGTGAGGGGGCGAGGTAGCCGGTGCTGCCTGCCGTGTGGCCACCGCGTTTTTTTGCAGTCGGGAGCGAATCCTCTCAGCAACATCCATTGCAGTATCTGTGCTCCACATGTTAGACATCTTCGAAATCTAGCTTGAGGCCAGGCATCAAGCACCAATCATGAAAGCACCAAGGTGCAAAAGGCATGGCAAGCAAGACTGCCTGGAACCATTGAAAATCGGCTTTTGCAGACTAGTTCAAACTTAGTGAAACCAAAGCTGGGCAGGGTGCAACTTTCAAGGGAGTATGAAGTAATCCAGTGGAGAAAATGGCTTGCGACCAGTCGCAAGGCTGTAAAGGGGCATTGGTTTTTGCGCTGTCGGAAATGTCTTCGAGCGGTCGCTTTGGAATGGCAGCGCAGGGTGAGCCAGGCGCCCCCACGAATGTCCACACCGCTAACCAATCAAAAAGACCCTAAACATTGACAAGTGTTGCGGGGGTTGAAAGCTTTGATGTTGGAGCTTGATGTTGGAAGTAGGGAAATGACAGCAGTGTGTTCCATTCGCTCTGAAACTCCAGGTACTTTACGATGCTTTCAAAATGAGGCTTCCCTAAATGAATATTGGAGTAAATTTTGGCTCGTCACATGAGGGAACTAACTCAAAGGGGCCTCCATGCATCAGATCCAAGCAAACTTTGCGGGGCTCACGAGGCGCTGGCCGTCTCGCCCGCAACCTCAGGGCGCCCAAGTCCCTACAAGTGGGTTTTGAACAGCGCTTAAGTTTGACATATACGGGGTCCAATGACAAAACTTGAGCTATTTGGCACACTTAAGTTGCCTGAACCGGTTTGTCCTTGGTCAAAACAATGCCATGGGAGGTGATCACGTAGGGCTTCTGAACCTTCAGGTTCCCGCCGACCTTCTCGAACCGCCAGCGAAAGGCAACCTGAATGTGCGTGCTACCCTCCACGGAACGGACGCAACGAGCAAAAATATTTTTGCCGCTCGGCTTCTCCTCCTTGCCAGAGGGGTTCTTCATCGGCCGGTACTTCTGGCTGTTCCGCACCGTCACTTCGAAGCCGTCGATCTCCTCGCCGCCCGCTTCATCGGTCCTCTTCACGTCGATGTAGCTGAGCTTGTGGTTGGAAATCCGCTTCGTCTTCTCCAAGGTCAGCAAGAGCTTGTAGAGCGTCATGGCACTAACTGATGTTGCGTCGGGGCGAAGTGTAGCATCGTCCACTTGACAAATGACCTTGTCCGAGGTGACATTCCACTTCACGCCCTCCTGAGGGTCGTTGACGCTGACGTAGCAGCCTGTGCCAAATCCTCCGATCTGGCAGTACTTGGGCAAGGTTTTGTCCTTCTTGCTGTACAGGAACACCTTGCCTGACTCGCACCTGCAGATTGAGACGTCGGCCACTTCGCTCGCCGCTTCTTCCTCGATCTTGTCCACGGCTTTCAGCGCATCAAGCGTCTCGAACTGCTTCATCGCCGCGCCGGCCACGTCCTTGTCATCGTTGCCCGCTGCGTCTGCTGTCTCTCCTCCGGATCCACGACCCGACGGTTCTACGATCTTGGCCAGGAGGTTCTCGTAGTCCCGCACGTGGTCTGCCTTGATGGCAGCGTAGTCCTCTGCAATGGTGCCGGTTTGCGAAGACCAGAACTTGTCCTCATCTGGCTTGATGATGATCCGAGCGCCCTCACGCGAACAAACCTCAAGCTTCAAGCGGTCGATCGAGCCTGTCGCGATGAGTGCCCCAGGGATCTTGTTGATCTCGTCCTGCGAAATCTTCGGCGGCTCAGAAGTGAAGCCCAGCCCGGCGATGTTCAACTTCTTGTCCAGCCACATGTCAGTAAGTTCGGCCATCAGCCGCGCCTTCCCGAACTCCGGCTCCTCCAAGAAGTGCGCACTCATGTAGTGCAGCTTTTCGCTGGGAAGGCTCCCGATCTTGTCCTGCTTCATCTTCAGGTCCACCACCTTGCCATGATTCTGGGCCAGCTGTCAAGCTGTCGGCGGTTTTTCATGTTTAAGCAAGTCGTGTCAGGGCACTGGGTTGGACAATGGCACTTACGGTGGCCCACGCCTAGCTTGGCTTGATCAAAGGAACTTTAGAAGGGAGCTTCCATTGCACGGCAACTAGTTGAAAGCTAGCTCTCTGAGACAGATGACAAGAGAAGAAAAAGCACGCGCGAAAACTTGTGCGCGCGTGTGTGAGGGAATAGAAATGCTAACTAACCTTTTGCGGGTTTTGAAGCTTTGCGATGCTCGCAACTTAGTCTGATCGTGACGCCTGGTCGGAGCGATCTCGAAGCAGGCTCGGAGCAATCTTGGAGCGCGTTCGGAAATTGGACCACTGGCACGGACGCTCGCGCGCTTTTCGTAACATTAGTTTGTGTGACAGGCGCAGCGCTGTCGCAAAAGGTCAGGTACAGATTTCGCGCCAGGCGCAGCACGTTCGCAGGGTCAGGTGCAGATTTCGTGGCAGGCGCTGTGCTTTCGCAAGGTCGGGTACAGATTTCGTGGCAGACGCAGCACTTTAGTGGCAGGCGCAACGCTTCAGACTTCGTGGCAGGCGCAGCACTTTCGCAAGGGCAGGCGCAGACTGCGTGGCAGGCGCAGCACTTTGGCAAGGTCAGGTACAGATTTCGCGGCCGGCGCAGCACTTTCGCAAGGTCAGGTTCTGATTTCCTGGCAGGCGCACCACTTTTTGCAAGGTGCGATCGCTGGGTCCAACCGCGCTAGTTTAGTGGCAGTCACTGCACTTCAAAGTGATGGACAGACAGGTAGATAGATAGAAGACTTGAAAACGATTAGAAAGGAAGAAAGATCAGCAAACAGATGCACAGATACCTAGTTAGAGATGGGTGGTTGTTCGATGGATAGATAGATGGATAGATGACAGATAGATGGATAGATAGATAGATAAAAAGAGAGAGAGAAAGAGAGAGAGAGAGAGAGAGAGAGAGACAGAGAGAGAGAAAGAGAGAAAGAAAGAAGGAAGGAAGGAAGGAAGGAAGGAAGGAAGGAAGGAAGGAAGGAAGGAAAGAAAGAAAGAAAGAAAGAAAGAAAGAAAGAAAGAACAAGAGAGAGAGAGATTTGCTGTTTAGATAGGTAGACAGAGAGTAGAATATGTCGATTGCATAACTAGATGGGCAGAGAGAGAAAGAGAGAGCGGATGAATAGGTAAAAAAGATGAGCACAAATCTGGAAAGTAGGTAAATACATAGTAGATAGTAGAGATCATAATTAAGAAAGGGTTAAGATAAATAGATAGATAGATATAGGCTGATAGATAGATCGGGCGATAGAGAGATTAGATAGAAGGATAAATAGAGAGGTAAATTGAAGATAGACAGGTAGATAGATAGGGAGAGAGGAATAGATTGGTAGATGGAGAGATAGACTGATGGATAGATGAGATAGAAGTAAGTGTAGTGACAGATAGAGGGAGAAAAGTTAGATAGAGAGACCAGGTAGTAGGTAAGTGAATAGTCAATAGACAGACCGACAGATGGATGGATAGATAAATGATAGTGTAGATAGATAGATAATATGATAGATGGATAGATAGATAGATAGACAGAAAGGGTAAGTTGACACAGAGAAACCCGTCAACAGAGAGAGCGAGAGAGAGAGAGAGGAGACGAGATAGATGGACGGATAGCTAGATAGACAGACAGACAGACAGATAGACAATGACAGACAAGTACATGTAGAAAGATGTAGAAACTGATATTCTTCGAGCTGAAAAGAAGCACTAGACCCAAAGCCTGCGATGAAAGGAAAGGGAAAAGAAGGAAAGAAAAGGAAAGAAAGGAAGCAAGAAAGACTAAAATACAGAAAGACAAAAAGAGACACAGGAAAAAACAAAAAAAGAAAGATGTCACACAGCAAGAAGAATTAAAAAATAAGACACGTAACAATAAAACACAGAATCCAGAACATTGTAGTTGTCGGTGTGTGCTTGAAACTTCCGCCCGCCGGCTTCGCCGGAGCTACTGGTACGAAGCCCAAATCACATGACTGCATCCGAAGCTTAGGCTACGAATAGCAAGTTGTGTAGGGGAAACATCTGAGACCAGTCTCAGAGTGTCAGACACAAGGAAAGCTTGGTGGGGCTAGAAAACGCATGCTGGAGTTGGAGTGTTGTCAACACCGAATATATTTTGCCCCAAGCCCCCTAAACACCTTTTGGTAACCCAAAAAGGGGTTTGGCCGTGGCCACGTTTCCCTTAGCGTTGAGCCCCGGACCGCAGCGCCCATATCCTCCACATAGCCCGTCAAATTCACCAGGACGACGGGCCCTGTGAAGCATTTGCCGGCCGGAAGCTGCAACAGCGAGCACAATGAGGCGGAGTGCTTCTCTCGCCCTTTCTGCGCCCGAACTTGCTCGGGCGATGGCTTCGCCCGCTCAGACAATCGGATGTCTTTGTCTGGGAGGAGTGACTCGGGAAGTAGCAAATCCCGCTGTCGGGGCAGCACCACCTGCTGTTCCCCAAGAGGACGGCCGGCCACTGCCAGCTCGCTGTGATTGATAAAGATGTTCTCGGACAAGGCGTCCGCTTGCACGACCATCCTGCCCGCTGACCACCGCCTGCGTGTGTGAAGAGACGGCTAAACTAAGCTAAACGTTAAAGTAAGACTACGCCAGAAAACTCGACACTTTCAAAGGCCGCAAGAAAAAGAAAAAGGTTGCCCAACCCTTCGGACCGTCCTGTTGACAGACTTTTCACCGCCGCTCGGAACATCGAAGTTGATGATGTAGCGACAATCACAGTGCTGAAGCTGGTTCCAGAGGTTGTCCTGAATTGATCGTTCCTCGTCCGCCAAGCCACGCTTGGCAGATTCGCGAGGGATGTCCGGCATTTCCAGCAGGCACGCATTCTTGCTGGCGCCCATGGCGTTGATGAAGGCCAAGGCTGCGCAGAGTTCCTGACAAGTCTCCTTCGCCCTGGTCTTCGGGATGTTGAAGTCGGCAAAGCCGACTATGTGGACTTCCTGCGCGCTTACGTGGTGGAGGTTGGCCTGACAGAAAGCTGCCAACATCATTGACAGAGTGGCTGGCCGGCTTTGGTGATATTTGGGAGTGGCGCTGGCAGCGCAGCTGCCTTCTCAATTTGAATCACCGACAATCGCACCAGTTGCAAGTTGTTGCGTCAAGACGGCCATCAAATTCGTATTCGCTATCGTTTCAGTCTTACCAAAGATAACTCAGGCTTTCGCTGGAAGCCTTTGCGTAGATTTCCCTCCGCCGACCACAGACGGCAGAAATGCTTCATCCCGCGCCCATCACACAGCCAACACGCTAACAAAAGCCACGCCTAAAACTTGATACCAAATTTCTTGCCCGCCCTACGTGAGCTTGCGCTCAAAGTCAAAGCGACAAACATAAAATAACACAACCAGGCAACGTCTAACTAATAGCTTGCGATACCACATCCCTCACCCTTCGCACAAACAAACAAACAGACAGACACAGACAGACAGACAAGCAAACACACAACAAGCAAGCAATCAAACCCCTGCGTACCATATTAAATGTAATGCCACAGACTTGCCTTGCAAAATCCCTGCCCATCACGCAAACAAACGACCTAACATTCAAAATGTAACACCCCAAATTTCCCACAAGCAAACAGTCTAAAATAAAGGGAAGCCTCAAACTTGCACTGCTGAATTCAAAACACAAGCAAGAACGCAAACAAACAAACAAACAAACAAACAAACAAACAAACAAACACACAAACAAACAAACAAACAAACAAACAAACAAACCAACCAACCAACCAACCAACAAACAAACAAACAAACAAACACAACAAACAAACACACAAACACACAAACAAACAAACAAGCAAACAAAAAGCAAACAACAACCAGCAAGCAAGCAAGCAAGCAAGCAAGCGAGCGAGCAAGCGCAAACACCAACGAACACACAATCAAACGAACAATCAAAACAACATACGGCATAAACTTGCGATACCACTCCCCTTTGCCCAGCCAACCAGCAAACAAACTATTATTCTAACTAATGCTTACTACTACTCATGCTCTGTAACTAACTACTAACTAACTAACTAACTAACTAACTAACTAACTAACTAACTAACTAACTAACTAACTAACTAACTAACTAACCAGCTAACTACTAACTCTAACTGACTGACTAACTAATTAACTAACTGGCTAACTAAAACTAACTAACTACTAATTACCTAATACAAACTAAGTAACTAACCTACTCGCTGACTAAGACTACACTAGCATTCAAAACGCAACTCCTCAAACTTGCGACGCCCATCTCAGAAACAACAAACTCGCAAACATATCACGAATCAAATCGGTAGCGCTTGGGCCGGAAGTCTTCTCCTGGTGACCGAGCGACGCCAAAAAGCAGCTCTTTCAAGCCACGAGGGGCCGATGTTGCACCCAGCGAACCCTGCCAAATTTGATCGTTTTCGTTGAGCCCACACGCAAAACCCCGAGCGCGCCCCGGCATCGCCCGAAGGGCACCACCCAGCGCCAGCCCAGCCAGATCCGCAACACCCTTGAGCCAACGCCCGCGTCTTAAGCAGCAACATCACAGCCGCCAGCACCACATCGAAACCATCAACACCGTCATCATCACCACCATGAACGCCATCATACCCTGAGCACGCGCGGAAAGGACACCCCCCTAGCCGCAGCACTGAACTACTAAGTTTGGACGCTCCACTCTTACCAAACAACTGAGAACAACTTCGTCACTGTGTAGGCAAGCAGCAATGTAACCCACATAGTCCACGAGCTGCGGCTTCACGAGGCCCGGCTGGTGCACCTTCACAATGCGCACGTAGCGGTCCATGTAGGCTACAACGGCCTTTCGGCCCAGTTCCCCCTGCTCCCTTCGCCACTGAACATCCTTCTTGTGCTGAAGCATCGCCAGCTTGCCAGGGGCGGCGTCCACCTGCTTCATGGCCAAGTGGTCCTGCGCCAGCGCCTTTTGGAAAAAGACCCACTTGGCATTGCGCACTTGTAGGCGTTGAGATTCCACTTCTATGGTAGCCTGCTCCTCTTGGCGCTGGACGAGCTCTTGGGCGCCTTCCCGTTCAGAGCGCAGCATGCTCAGAGCAAAGCAGCGAGGCCGTCGGTTGAGAAGCTCCTCCAGGTCATCATCCAGAAAGTCTGTGGCTGCAAGTTTTTTCTCCTTCTGCTCAAAAGACTCGTTGGACACCGCCGCCACGTGGTCACGGACTTGGCCCCACAAGGCGCACCGGTTCCGAAGCTGAAGAAGCTCTTCATCCTTCTTGCGGTACTTCTTCTTGCTAGCGGCGTCTACCAAGGCTGATGCCTTCTGGAAATCCGTGACCACGCGCTGAAAGAGGATGAACTGCCCAGCTTCACTCAAAGGAAGGGCCCAATCCAGCGAAATGTAGCCTTCGTCCTGCAGCGGCTCAAGCTCGGTGTCCAAGATGGAGAAGCCGGCCACCGTTGAGCCCACAAACATAGACGCCGTTCCAGCGAAGGCCTCTCCAAAGGGACCAAGGTTGAAGGGCTGGTCATGCTGCGAGGCTTCTACCAATGCCCAAGTGGCAGGCCCGGTTTTTTCCATCCAGTGGCGAATGGCTCGCGACTTCTTTTGGTCGATCACCATAGACCCGGAGCCGGAGAGGAAGCCCTCAGATGTTGTCAAATACAAGCTTGAAGCAGTCAACAAGAGTTGCTTTAAATCGAAGACCAGTGTTTTTGGAACGGAACGCTGGCCCTTTTTGAAGATGGATGGATAGCTGGTTTTCCTGGAAACGAGAGTTGGTTTTTGGAAATCTGCGCTGTGAAGGAACTTTAAATCCATTCAACTCAGTGGACAATTTCAGATTGGCTTGCCTTGTCAAACTAGTCCTCAAAGAAAAGAAAAATAAACAACGTTTGGGTGAGGCACTGTCAACTTACCCCCCTGGGCCACCACTTCCGGGTGCTCGTTGTATCGCTTTAGCGCCTCATCCAAGGTGATCGGCTGGTCGCCGTCACTGGAGGCACGGAGGCTTTGGAGCAGCACGGCCCACTGGAAGCTGCTAATGGGTTGGACTTTCGCATCGCTGTTTTGTTTGACAACCCTGGCCACAAGCGAGTCCAACGGATCCCCGACAAAACTTGTAGGTTCTTTGAAAACCGTAGCAATGTTCAAGAGCGACTTGATCAACAACTGCAAGCTGTGGTGTTGGAAATCCTCCTTGTTGAAGTCTTTTGAGACGGCGATAAGCCCCAACCAGCACATGAAGGCCCCCAATGTCTTCTGGGAGCCGTCATCAAATTGCAAGATTCCAGGCTGGGCATCCAAATGCTTTGCTGCATCCAAGCCCGAGGGCAAGCGCAAAGACACCACTTCCGCCTAGCAGGGAACCAATGTGCTCGGAAGGTGATTCTCTCAGCAAAATGGACCCTCGCTTGTCCCCCCCTCCTTGCCGAGGTGTTCTGAGAACACCTCAGCAAGGGAAAATGAGGCTCTTTACCTAACAGCCCCCAAGATTTTTCTGTGGCTGACTTTTTTTCTTGGGTGTCTGTCCCCTGAGTACGAGCCTACAGTTTGCCTTGCCGAGGTGTTCTTAGAACACCTCAGCAAGACAACCCTCTTGGGCTGACAGCTGCCGAGCCGAGGTAATTGGCTTCCGTTGGTGGAGAAAAAAGAATTCAAAAAAATAAGGGTTTCTTTTGTAAGCTCCAGCCTCCCGAAACCGGGACAAGCCAATGGACATGGTAAGGTCCACAATCTCGGACTGGGCAGTAAAGCTTCCTCTCCAAAAAGCTTCATCCTTCATTGACCACATCAGCACACTGGTCTTGAAGAATTGGCCAGGCTCCGGCGGCCAGACCTGGAACACCGGTGGCTGGTTTAGGATGACTGAGCACTTCGGGCGCCAAAGGGTAAACAAATACGTACTGAGTACAGCGCTGTGAGTTTGACGAACGAGGTCAGCATGTCTTTCAAGCTGGCGGACTCATCGAGGAAGCCCGTTTTCTTCAGCAATTCCAGGGACCCCTCAAACAAGCGATCTGAAGTGCTCCAAACTTGCTGGGCAATTTTTCGAAATGTTCCTGGCCTCACATCCTTCCAGCCTGGCACCTGCTGGTCAGGTGTTGTGTGGCCTTCGCCCACGTGCCGGAGGCCGTGCACCTTTTCAACCCAGCCGCGCAGGGCGAGTTGAACTGGGGAAACATCAACGATGCTCACGGAATCCCTGGCAGCTTGCACGGTGGGGGCAGTGGTTCGCTGCCGCTTCTTCGCGGGCGGCATCGGTCAAATGTCTAAGCTCCACAATTCTCGAACCTGACACCTTGCAACGTGAGTACATGGTTGCGCAGTTTGCATCATTCAGCCCGCAATGTGGCAAACGGGTGCGCCGCAGTTCAGTTGGCAAACCCTATGGCAAAAACCCTTGAGTCTCAAGAGGATGAGCTTGGGCATCCTGAGGCGGACCATGCTGTTTCCCTCCGATAGCTTCAATCGCATCGCTGCGTGAAATGCGAACTCCTGCCTAGCGGTTTCCACTTGTTGACGACCAAAACTGCACTGCGCACAAAGCTGAGATGGGCTTCTAGGCTCAGGGCTTCCAGTTGGCTAGCAATGTCAGGAACGCTGCCACGTTGAGCGGAGTGCTAAACCTCATGGAAAGCAAGTTGATGCAAAATCTCCAACTCCATGACCAGGGGTCTAGTTAGGGAAGATCGAGGCCCGCGCGCATCCCCAGCCATTTTCTTCAGAGCCTTTGGTTCAACGCGGTCCATGCCGTAGTGGAAGTAGTCAGACTCGCTCACACCCTGAAGAGCTGCGTGCTCCTGTCACTTTGTGCTGGTTCCACCAATTCCAGAAAACAGAGTACCCTCTAGGGATGAGTGACCCGATGGCTTCAGTCCTGCGAATCCAACAAACGCCATCGAGCCGTCAGGATGTATTTCCCTTTCGGGGTGACGCAGGGGGCGATGAAGGGGTTCGATCGGACGTACCGGGAACGACTGAAGTTCTGGTCCTCAGTGTTGTGATAACAAACAAGGCCACGACTGCCAAGCCCTTTTTGACCTTTCAACGAACGCACCCGAAAAACAAACCTTGTTATCTGTGGAAGTCTTTTTAATCAGCATTCCAACAGAATAGCAGCATAGCCCACCCCCCAAAGCATAGTGTTGGGCCACTTCTCTTCCCCAAATGGTGCGTCTACACTAAGGGGTTCTCATGGTAAGAGCAAAAGGCGGGGGGTAGATCAGTGTTCTCACTCTGGGGTGGACAGTTTTTCGTGGTAATTTCCCTGCAATCGTGACTTTGTAAAATCTGGAAACGCATTTCGACTGCGCAGGCTCGCACAAAGTGGGGCTGGGATTTGGGGCGGGGGCATTTTTCGTGCTCTTGTGAAATCTCGCGCAATGCATTTTCGACTGCGCAGGCTCGCGCAAAGGGATCTGGGGCAGTGCATTTTTCGTGGTAATTACATTGCAATCGAAATCTTGAAACGCGCCTCGACTGAGCAGGCTCACACAAAGTGGCGGGCTGGGATCTGGATTGCTGGAGTTTTTGTGGTAATTGCCGTGCAATCGCGCTCTTGGAACATCTTCGCACACGTTTCGACTGCTGAGGGTCCCAAAGAAAGCAACTGCTATGGACCCTGCGCGCAAACCTTGCCAAGACATTGTGTCAAGAGATCCTGCGCACCGATCTTGCCAAGAGATCCTACCAAGAGATTTTGCGCATAGATCCGGTAAACCCCCCCCCCAAGATATCTTGCGCCGGTCCTTCATAGCGACCTTTTAAAGAGCTCTTGCGCAGGACCTGGACAGATTTCCCTCCAAGTGGTCTTGTAGAGGATGCGCGCTACAGATATTGAATAATTAAGTGATACTCATGGATCCTGCGCACAAATCTTGCCAAGCCTTCCCAGACATCTTGCACACAGATCCTGCAAAGTTCATGTAAAGATCCTCCCATAGATATGTTGCGCTTGTCCTTCGTAAAGGGCCCTCTCATCTCAGGAGATCCTACCAAGAGATCACACAGATCTTGCCCCAAAAAAACGTCAAGAGATCTTGCGCCGAGACCCTGTAAAAATCCAAAGTTACCTGGCGCTGCTCCTTCTAAAGAGGTCTTGCGCGTGACCTGCGAAGATTTCCCTTCAAGTTGGCAAGGGTGCTCCCTAGAGGGTCCTTTGAGGGATCCTGGCCGGGAGATCCTACCAAGCGATCCTACCCGCACATCTTGCGCAGATCCTGTAAAGATCCCTACGAAAATCTTAAGACGGTGGAGGTCTTGCGCGGGATCTGCAAAGATTTTCCTTGCGAGAGATCTTATAGGAGGATGCTGCCTAAAGATCTTGGACAGAACTCTTGTAATGGGTATCCTAGAAAACGAAGCACAGATCTTGCGCAGAGCTCCTTCAAAGATCCTCCACAGATATCTTGCGCTGGTCCAGCGTAGGCATCCACTCAACAGATCATGCGCAGGGCCTGCCGAGGTTTCATGTCGAGACATGTTGTGGAGCACGCCCTTTACAATCCTGAGGAGAGAGCTTGTAGAGGGTTCTCTCGGGTATCCTGCTCACAGGTTTTGCCAAGAGATCCTATCAGATCCTGCAAAGATCCTTCCACAGAGATCTTCTCCAGAATTTACAGACACAAAAGTATGTATTGCAGGGAAATCTTGCGCGGAAACTCTTTCTTTCCGCAGGATTTTTTCTATAGGAGTTTGAGAAGGCTTTGTTTGAAGAGCACGTGCGCGACCTTCCATCGAGACCCTGTGTGCGAATTGCGTGGGTTCCTGTCTCACTTTGTGACCACTGTTTGGGGTCACGTGCCGGGATAATTTTGAAAGGGCTTGGCCAGATTTATGGCACACTCTCTTGCTTCCGGGGACTGTTTTCAAGGGGTGATCCAACTGATCCAACACCACTACCGCCCTTTCTTTAAACAAAAACTATTCTAGGGTCACCTCTCCCTCCTCCCACTGTCACCTAGCAAGGGCCTTGCCATTAGGCTTTTGGTACTACGTTCCGCCGCGAAATCTTCAAAAAAAGAGGGTTTATGCCGGCGGTCTGTGTTGGGGATCAAAAGTAGGGTCTATGCTAGTGGTCTGTTTTGGCAGTCAAAACTAGGGTCTATGCCAGCGGTCTGTTTTGGCCATCACAAGTAGGGTCTATGCCAGAGGTCTGTTTTGGTGAAACATAAGGTTTATGCCAGCGGTCTGCTTTGGCGACTCAAACAAGCAGGTTCATCACACATCGCGGTCCCCCACCCTAACGTAACCTCTCGCAAAAGGGCTTTGCCATTTTTTGTGTTCGGTGGCTTACGGGGAAATGTTTTCAGAGGGTTGCGCAAAATCGCTGTCTCCTCCAACGAAAAAAGCAAGTTGGGGTCCCTTCTTTTTGCATTATGTGGCAATCTTGGCAAGGGTCAACTTGGAGAACCAAAGGTGTGCTGAAGGCGTCGATTCCGAAGCACGCTTGCAGCTCCACAACGGTTGTGGCAAGGATTGCCAGCTCCCGATCCAGCAAGACGGGAGCAATGTTTGTTTTCTTGAGCTCGCCAAGCGCGATGTTCACCTTTGCCTCGGTGTTGCAGCTTGTGGCTTCAAACTTTGGAATTGGCAAACTGCCCTGAGACCCCAAACGGCCAGTTGAAGCTCTCCTTACTTCAGGTCAGCTACTTTGCCCAGCTCTTTGCTGGCAATCTTGAAGCCCTCCTTCCACTTGGCATCCTTCCCCGCCTTTCCCCACTTGCCCTTGCCCACCTTGCCAGGCGCCTCCGACATTTCGAGCGGGGTCGGCTCTCGGGCCACGGCCACGCAGTTCTGGAGCTTGGTTGCTCGGCACTGGAAAGACCTTAGCGGACGGGCTGGGCATTGTTCCATTTGCGGTGGCCCCAAAAGGAAAAAAGAGGGAAACTGAAGCCCGGCCAAAATGACACTTTGTGAGTCCAAACCACATCAAGTCTTTTTCAAGGTCACCAGCATCCGCCTTGGACTTGTCAGAGCGGATGTACAACATCCAACATCTGTTGCGGCTTTGGGGTAGCCCAAATAGGCAGGAGTTGGCCAGAATAAAGCCAGTCTGGTAACCCAAGGAAAGCATGAGGGCATTCTGGCGATCTATGGGGCGGATGCCCCCATCAGGCTTTCTCTTTTGCAACATCTGGCGCACGTTCTCTAGCGCTACCAGCTCTGGCTTCGCAAAGCGGATGAAGCCAGTGACAGCTGTGAATCCTGCCCCTGTTGCGGAAGAGGAGTCTGAGAAAGCTGCCGGCGCCACATTCAGCGAAGACAAGCTGACGCAAGGGTAGCCGGCGACCAGCATGTCCACCTGGTAGGGACACGCAGCTCCGAGCAAACTGCTCTATGATGTTGGGCGGGCGTCCAAGGCAAACACATGGTTTCTATAGAAAGAAAAATTGCCCGGCCTTGTCCGGCACAGGGGACACTTGCCCACCACGGTTATAATCTTTAGCCATCCCCGAGGGCAACTCCTTCATGTCGGTGAAAAGGGGGATTCCGGGTTTGCCAAAGCGGCTGCAAAGGTACTTCTGTCGGGCGGGGTCAATCTCGCACATGAAGGCAGTAACAGCCTTACTTTCAGCCCACGAACAGTTGCCTCGCTTGGGACAGTTGAAAGGCTGCGGTAAAACACGGCGCCTTGCAAACAAGAAGCTTCAACGGGAACTTCCGGGTGGTGATAGTTCCAGTGTGTGTTGAACGACTCCGACACCATCTCTTGAGTACCCCAACCGGAACAAATGGTGGCAATCGTGATGGTGCCGCGCTTGGACTCTTTCACCTCCTGCATGGTGGCCATGAGCTTTGCTTGCAGCGCCCGGAACCTGCTGTCAAGCAGGCCATCCAGAAGGAAGTCCCCAACCTGCAGCAGGCGCAAAGAACCAAAGCTTTCATTGTGGAGACTGACAGAATCAGAAACCTTTTTCCGCCAACACTGTGTCTACACGAAGGGGTCTTACGGTAAGAGAAAGAGGCCGGGGTTAGATTAGGGCTCGCCCTGGGCCGCACAGTCTTTGTGGCAATTATCGCGCAATCAATCGTGACTGTGCAAAAACAGGAAATGCATTTCGACTGCGCACGCTCGCGCAAAGTGGCTGGGCGAGATCTGGGGGGGGGTTTTCGACTTGGCAGGCTCGCGCAACAAATCCGCTGAGATGTTCATGTGCATTTCGACTGCGCAGCGAACAGCGAGCTAGCAAAGCGAGTACTGGAGGTAGGGTTGGGTTTCCTCAGGTGAAGAAGGGAGAAGCCAGAGGTGGCAAATGCAAAGACTCTGAGGGCAGCTGCAGGTAAGCTTTGCCTATCATCTGCAGTGAGGCGATGCTCAACCAAAACAAGACTTTGGATATTGAGTATTGGGCCGACGCGAAAGGTTTTGCAGGGGCCAGTGCCACAGACCCGACTAAGTAAACGTCGAGATGCGCCAGTGCCGGTGTGGGCCCTGGCACGCAGCTCGCGCTGCTTTTCTGGACTTGCTGCCGTGATCTCCTGTTCCTTTTCATCTTCCTCCTCGCTGCTGGCATAGAGGACCTCACCGTCGCCGTCTACAGCGTTGTGGTCTGGCCTCAGCGGGAAGGTCAAACAAATATGGACGTGGTAAGAAGCGGCCACGCTGGCTCCATCAAAGCGGTGTGTTGACAAAGGCCCGAGCTGCTCATCTTCAGAGTCGCTGGTGAAGAACATCTCGTTGCTCTTAGTCTTGCTGCGCTTTGTGGTCCTGACGCTGGAGAACGGCTGGTAAGTCACCGGCGATAAGTTTGAAACCCAAACCCGTGTCTCAAGATCTCCAGGCGTCACGCTTCAAGTGCAGGGCGGGGCATTTTACTGCTCCATATCCACAGCACCTTCGCTCTCAGTGCCACTATCGACATCATCATCGCGACCAAGGCTGACATCAACGACCTTCACACGCCCAGGCGGGCTCCATGTGTGTGGCTTTCTGGTGGCTTTGTTCGCGCACCAGCGGTGTGAAAGTATGTCATACCGCTTTGGTCTGGGCACTACGGGCAATGAGCCACTTACCCAGTGAGACAAATAATCAAAGGCGCCCTGGGTAATGTCACCCTGGCGAACACAAACGGGGCCATAGCGATTGATGTTTTTGGCGACTTTGTCGCCGATCGGCCTCAGGGCTGCAACACCGGCTGGGTCAGAGTGCCCCTCGCGGATTTGCTGAACGTGTTCCTGGGGAACAACAACGTGCAGGGCAGCAATGGATTGGTCGCCGAGCCATCGCTTGGTGTACAGAACCAGGTCGCCCGCAGAAGGTGGAAACCTTTTAGGCAAGTCAGTGAAGGTTTCGCATTTGTCGATGATGCCACTCTCCAAGTCTTCTCGGAAACAGAAGCGCAAATAGTGAACGTGGCCTTGTGTTGGCGAGAACATTCGAAATTTAAACGCCCCTTTGTCCGAGTCCCACTTTCAATCAGGTCTTCTGCGTTTGCGAAATCCAAAGACAAACTTGGATGAGAAAATGCTCAGACCAGGAAACTAAAACGACTTGTGACTGGAGCTTGCTATGTTCAGCCGAACTGCGCAATCCTTTCAACTTGACCCCCACCTGGCTTACCCAGTCTTTCCAACAGGCAGTCTGCCCGAAGTTGCAAGCCAGAACTTGTTGGTTTCGTAGGTTCCTGCACCGCTTCCCCGAGCTAGAGCCAGAGCCATCACTGGGGCTTCCAAGTTTTTCGTTGAGCAAATCCACCACGCCCTGGGTTGAATCAAAGATGTTGGAAGCGAGCAGCGAAGCCAATTGTCCGAAGCACTGGTCTATGTCCTCATGGCCTGGGAGTTGTAGCTAGTAACAGTCGAAGGCTCAGGTTGTGACATGTTCAACTAAAGTTCAAAGGGAAGATGGCCAGTGACAAACAAATCAAACATTACTTAGCTTGTTTCGCCCAAGCAGCTATGGCCTGTTCTCAAGAAGCCGATGCTTGTCCACCGGAAAACTTGTAGAATTACCAGTAACATCATGGCCGCACCAACGTACTGGTTTTTGTTTTCTCGGAAGCAGTTATCTGCTTGAAGGTGGCAGCCAAGGGGTAGTTGAGAATGCGTCTGAAGGATAATGCTGAGGGATCGGAAAATTAACTCGCACTGTGTGACTGAATCTTTCTTCACGTCTTCATTTGCAAGCCACAGGAAAAGTCTGACCCCGTGGCACCAAACGCCTGTGCAATGTAGCGTTGGCCGGTAAAGTGAATCTAGGTGTTTCGACCGCCGCCCCACCACCCGTGGGCATTTAAACTTCGCCTGATCCATTCCGTCCGTGATTAGGCATAAGACGGACGTGGCTAGCTGGCTGGATAGAAGCCTAACAGCTTCAAATCGAGATTGAGCATCAGTAAAAGGTTTGTGTTGTTTTCCATGGACCGTCGCAAACCCCAAGAACAATAAACCGTTTGCCCAACTCACGCCAAGATGCTTGTTGGCATGTGTGTGCGCATCGCCTTAACTAGAGAGTAACTAGAGTCAACATGGCTAGGCACGTCAAGATGAAGTTGAGCCAAGGAGCGGAACCAGGCTTGCGATAGAGTTCGTATGGACCAGTAAGTTTGTCGGTCTATCCATTGGGACAGTATGTGTTCTGAATATGCCCGGTGCGCTTTTTTGCGCAGCTCTTCTGTTGTGGCGCGGCTGATTTGCCGCTTCAGCTTGCTGCAGACATTGCACTCAGCATGTTCGCCCTTGGCGCGAAAACATAAATGGGTCCTGAACACTTTGTGGAAGATCCTCATAAAAGATGCCAAGCCTGCCGGCGTCCTTTCTTGTTGCGACTCAAACGCCACATACTCATAGAACAAATCAATGGGTTTGCGGTGCTGTAAAAAACGGCGGGGACCCTGAAATGATCCTGGCCCCAGGGAGTGAAGGTCCGGCACCTTGTAGTGAGCATCCAAGCTTTGCAAGAAGTTGGTGACATACCGCAACTGAAAGTCACCATCCTCGGAGGGTTCGCATTCTGTGGCATAACCATTAGGCATCTTGAACTTGGTCGGCAGAATTTCTGCCGCTGAATGATAGACCAGCCAGAGAAATAGCATCACGTATGGCCACTTTGTCCGGACAGACTCCCGCAAGGACACCCCAAGGGTTGGGTGCTTTGGAAAGGAAGCACGCCGAGTATTTGTAAACGCTGCTTGCCCTTGTCTCATCTTTTGCAAGGTCCCAGAGCCCACACCAAGCAATCTTTGGTGCGCATACTTGCATACTGCTTTGTCAAGGAAAGTGCATGCTTTGGACCGGTTCTCAGCGTAGGATCTTTTGGGCTGGCCTTTCGGGCTTTCTTCGGCAGAGGAGGAGCCAGTTTCAAGCAACATGTTGGGGTCTTCGTCGTCATTGTCAGACTCCGGTAAAAAACGTTCGCAATCGGACTCGCTTTCCAAGAAAAGGACGTTTTCAGGGTCAACCTCGGTTGTCACTTGGTCCTCGATATCCAAACGCTTCAGGTCAACGTTGTAAAAGCCAGAAACGCAAGCCTCCTGCAGAGTTTTGGGGTTTGACCAGTTGCATAAAGCCCTCCACCCTTCCCCACGTTAATGTCAGTGGTCCCTTGCAAAAAACACAAAACTAGCCACCGGGGAAACAAGTCTAATGATCATCTTCAAACTTCCCTACAGACAGACTGGATTGAAACTGATTGATTTTTGGGGGGCCGAGCCTTATCATGGGCGTCCAACTCTTGGAACTTGGCTCTTGCTAGAAGAACTGCTTTTTCCATGCCCTTGAACTGGGTGAAGCACTTAGACGCGGTGCAGCGGCATCGCCGTGTGAGGAGGGTTTCAAGCTCCACCGTTCTCCCATCTGTTGTTCTTTTTCTTTTGCCCCCAAGTTGGGAGCCCCTTGCAGAAGCAGGAGGCTGGAGCACTATTGGCGTATCGTCGTCAGACTCCAGAAAGAGATCCATGGCTTTCCCACAAACAAAACGTCAAACACCGGATTCTGAACATTGAAGTTTCCAATTGCTGTACGCCGTCAATCGTCAAATGCGGATCCAACAACGCGGGCTGTTGACTCACGCAGCCTTGCTGCACCACCCTGATTTGCTTGGGCCACACCCTGCTGAAACATCAGCAGCGATTGAGTGCGCAAAACAACATTAGGCGCAACAGGAAAACCCAAAACAGTCCTGCCCCCGCCATCCGAGGTTATCTTCATGGCCGGCTTCGGCTTTGGCTTTGCGGCCGCTGGCCGCTTCATTGCGGCTGCTGGCCGCTTCATTCTTTTCTCCTATCCCTTTGAGAAAAAAAGACCCTGCAGAACCAACCCCAGTCCAAGCATCACTCACACCTGAGCACAAGCAAGCCAGATCAAGCAACTACTTTTCACGAAACAACCAAGTTTCACGAAAGGGCCTTAATGATACAAGAATCCCAAAAGCTGAAATGAGAATCCGCAAGTGAAGAACCTGCGTCATGGGAAATCGATTTGCCCCCATGTGAGCAGCGGCCCAAACCCATTGACAGTTGGCTACCAACGTGACAAAGGTGTATGTGTGTATGGGTTAGAATTAAACCACCAGGGGACCACAGGTTTTAGTCATTGTTTCCATTTACCAGGCTGCCATTTTGGGTACCTATTTTTGACCCACAGCCATGTAGGCCAGACTACAATCACTATGAAACCAGGTAGGCAGCGAACCACCCACTTGCTAAGGCTAGGGAAGTCTGGGCGCTGCTCATGTGAGCTTTGGCACCCATCAAATACATGTCTACTGATGGGCAACAAACCCCACCAGTTTGCCTGGAACCGTCTCAGACGCGCTCGGCACCTGGGTAGTTGAAACTCGCTAGGGGTTCAGTAGAAAGTGCCAAACATAACCAGTCTTAGGGATCCATCCACCAATCGGGTGTCCCTGGGTCCCTTTTCTTGGAGAGCAGGTCGCTGTGGGAGTGCGCTTCTTTGTACATGTCAAGCTTTCTAATATTCAAAAAAGAGAGCAGGACGCTGGGAGCGTGTGCTTTGTCCACGTTTCGAGTGGAAATTCGAGTTGACATACGCTTGAAAAATGTGTGTGTGTGTGGGTGGGTGTGTGGGTGTGTCCATGTTAACTGATGTGTAAAGAAATTCGGAAAGAACGTCCTGTGTAATGTCTAATTCAAAACTGAATAAGTCGAATCTAAATCTAGTATAACATAGAAATTTTGACTGGACTATGCCCTTGTGAAAATTATGTTAAAATTCTAATTGAATTGAAATTTCTATTGGGAACGAAAGTCTACTTCTAAACTCAAACAATACTTTCCTGATCAAGTACTTCTTTATTCAGTCGTATTTAATTGTATCTAAGCTCAAAGTGAAAATTAAAGAGCGGCCGTTGCTGAAGAAGCGAATTGAGTACAAAAAACGCTAAGAAAGTGGGCCAGTTAAAAGCGCAAGAAGCAACGATTTTGGGACCTCTGAATTCCTTGCTTGTGAAGCCTACTTCTTAGCATGTTGTGTTTTTTACTCTACTCAGGTTCTAAGCAAATTCAATAGGATTAAATAACGCATTACTTTCTATTTCAAATTGGATGTTTAATAAATGATTTAGTTGAAATTAAGTTTCACACAGGGAGTCCGTTCAAATAGAAAATCAGAAAGCATTTAAACCGAATGGATTCAACAATTTAGGGGCCTCTGAATTTCACATAATGTATTATACATATCCAGTTCTGATCAATGTATACATAACAATAAACATGATAGGGTAAGGAAAGGCTACAATCATAATTGTTGTTACCCTATTTTATGATTTAGACAATGATTATTCTATGTCAATACTAAATGCGTCACTGGACTTCCTCTCCCTAAGAATTTTCGTTACAAATCAGTAATTATTCAAACACTATTTCTTCGACAACTGTTTGAGCATCTGAGTTCTGTCCTTATGAATTCTGCTCAATACATCTATCCAGTTGCACTTGATGTCTAACTAAAACTAAGAAGAATTTTCTAAGAAAATAGTCCAATCAGAGGAACCATCTCTAGCTGGCTTGGACGTGAACTCCGCAAGTCCACTTGAACACAAATGCTCTCGCAAACGGACTGGAAACTGGAACATTCAAAAAGGGAAACATCCCGGAAGACAGGCATACCCGCCAAGTCAAGGCGGCTGACATAGTCTTGCTTTTGCTTCTGTAGTTCTCTCGAGGTGCTTCATACTTTTCCAAACACATGCAAAAATACCCTGAGAAAACAATTCCAAACAAGATTACCCCCCCCCCCAAGTCAGGGCGGCTGACATAGTCTTGTATTTGTTTAATTCTTGTTTGGTTTTCTCGAGTTTGTTTCTCCGACACCACAGCACATGTGCAAAGTGCACTCCCGGGGCGTGGGCGGCCGAAGCCATTTTGGTGGTACGGGAAAACCCGTTGAGGCACTTTGCGGAGTCTAAAAGCAAACCCACCCAAATTGGGTGTGACTCCTTTTTTGAGGGGACCCCTCAAAATGGCTTCGGCGTTCCTTCCGCATTTGCTCAAGTCCCCTGAAAAAATATAAAATATGTCCAGTAATAGAAAAATCTGTCCAGCAGCGATAGATTCCCCTTATGCCAACAGGGGAAGATCAAAATATGTTCACTTCAGCAAATGGAAGTCCCCCAAAAAAAATCGGATAGCACCAAACAAAAAAGGTCCACAGCTTTTTCGGGGGCCCCTCAAAATGACGGCTTAGTTTTCCTTCACCCAAGGAAAAAATACTTTCTTAGCGGAACCCCCCCCCCCCAAAACGGCCGGTTTTTCCTTCCACCGAAAACAACAACGCATTTTTTAGGGGGGGGCCTCAAAATGGCGGGTTTGTCCTTGACCCAAACAAAGCCACGGGCTGGCCGCCACACCAAAAAAAAGGCGAGACGCGCCGCTCGACAGAATTCGTCGCCTGCAACAGTTCGAGGCCCCGCTGCCACTGCGCCTTCTGCGCCAAGGCCGTGGCTACGGCCAGGCGGGCGTAGCTGTCGCGCGCCGGGAACAGCGCCACCGCACGCCTGGGAGAAAAAACCCGGCAGAGCTTTCAGGGGACAGCAGAGCTTTCAGGGACAAGCCACACGGAGACTTGCAACTATGGTAGGTGGGTCAACTTGCGCTGAGTCGCTTGCCCTCCCCACCTTTCCTTGTGTTCCGTTTATTTGTCAGAATCAAAACGCAGACTCAACTTTTGCAGGGGGTGAGTCAGAATCGACACGCGGATTTGAACCCCAGTGCCTGTTGACAACTGAACAAGAACGCGGCAGAGCTTACCGGGGCAATCTGGTACCTAGTAGATGGTTAGTAAGCCTGGTTATAACCCACTTAGGAGACTTCTAACCATGGTAAGTGGGTTATAACCAGGCTTACTAACCACTTACTAAGTACCCTGCCCCTTTAAGTAGGTGAGTCATAATCAACCCCGGCTTTTTGAACAGAAGGGGAAGGGGGATGTAGTTTTACCGCTCCAATGTCGGGATCCAGAATCATGTAAAGAACTGAAAAGGCGGACCGCACCCGTTTATGGGTGGGATTGTCCACAAATAACCTTCCTCTACCCGGGTTTTGATTGTGGCTCAGGTGACCCGCTGGTCAGTGGCTCTCCTTTGGTCTCCCTTGATTCGCTTCATTTGCTCTAGGTGACCTAAACTGGAAAAATACCCCGTGCGGATTGCGTGTGAAAAGCCCGGCTCGTGTGCAAAGGAGGGGCACACAAACGTTTGCGGGGGAGGAGCACGAGTTCAGGAAGACTGAAGTGAGGTTTCTCTGAACAACTCGATTTCAGGCTTACCAACAACATTGGTAGGGTCGGTCCTTTGCTCAGGAGTCACGATGCCTCCACCACCACCGCCACGACACCCACCACCACCACCACCGCCGCCACCACCACCACCACCATCACCACCATCAAACCGTCACCAACATGCACAGATACTCAAACCCTTCCATCTGACTGAAAGAATATGATGTTCGTTCTCTATGAGCCTAATTGGATTGTGTCAAAAGGGAACTCGAAGAAAACTGGCCAGTTTGGGAGGAGCACTCCCAATCTTCGGACACAAGGAAAGCACAAAGGAAACAAAACCATTTTGTGATAAACTGATATGGGCGCCCCTACAGGCGCACCCCGGTGATCCCGCCAAAATAGCAAAATAGATAACCAAAATAACGGTGGGAGGACACCTAATTTCACCACGATGGCCATGGGTCAACACCCAGTAATCCCTACCTAAGATGGGTGGTGCACCTACCCCAAAATGGGATCCCTAAACGATTTTGACCCACAGCCTGATCTTGGGGGAGCCCTCGGATTTTTTAGGACCATTCTTCGGACCCCAGCGGCTGCCACTGTGCTGCATAGGCCAGCCCGCTGAGGGCGGCGTTGCGAGTGACCTACGGGTCCCGGCAATAGATGCCACACTCAGACCACACATCGAAGATGTCGGTGTCCCAGCTTGTGTCTTCCACCTGAAAGAGAACAGACCTTGCACCATGCATGAAACTCTTCGAAATCTTGAAAGGGTCCCTTTCGACCCTTCACGGATAACAAGGGTCCTTAGCTTTGCAAGCAACCGTTCTTTCCAGCCCCCTCATGAACGCGGTGACTTAGGAATGTGCCAAAAGCACGGAACCACTCTCCCCGAACAAAAAACAAAAACAATGATGCTGCTGCTGATGATGATGATGATGATGATGCTGATAATGATGATGCTGATGATGATGATGATGATGATGATGATGATGCTGATGATGCTGATGATGATGATGCTGATGATGCTGATGATGATGATGATGATGATGGTGATGATGGTGATGATGGTGATGATGGTGATGCCGTAATGAAAAGACGTAAGTTATAATGATGATAACAACAAATAAGAGATGTGAAGTCAGTTTGCATTGTGTGCTACCCCAAGAACGGGTGGCCTAGCTTCGACAAATGCCCCAGTTGAGTCACAATGGAAAGCCGGGAAGAAAGGGCTCTATCCAGAATCATGGATGGATAACCGTTTTGTGATTCGGACTCTGTCTCGTACAAAACAAATCAGGATTGTGGCTGCTTCGGAAAAAGTTTGCAGCGCTGCAACCCCAAGCTCATGCACTTCTCCCGAACGCTCCCAGTCCTGTCTGCAATGACCACAGGCTCATGGCTGACCACTCTGATTTGGGCAAGCTCATAGATGACAAGCTTCGCCAGCCAGACGGAGATTTGGCAAACAAAAGTAACCTGTGGACTCCCCCGCGACTTTTTTGACCACTGCCATGCATCGCATTACCCGCCCCAGCCCGCCTGATCTTCCGATGGACTATGTGTTTCTCCCACAAAACAGGGGTCACTGGAGTTCAACTTCCCCCCTTTCCATTGAAAGAGCTTTCCTTCAAAGGCAAACGGCAAAGCCCTGGTGTCCATTGAAACCAGGAACAAAGGATCGCCACAAAACGCGGAGCTTCCCTTTAAAGGGAACCGGCTTCCCGAGGCCGCCGAATCGCATCGCCTGGTCCGGCTCTATCAGAAGCCGTGGCAGTTCCGCCAGCAGCGCCTGAAACCGAGCCGAGCCAAGCGCAGAAAGCAGAAGCACCCCCAAGCTCCAGAAACCAATAGCCACAATCATGAGTTCATAGCATCCGCCTCATGTTGCATGTTGTTGTTTTGTTTATTACTGATACGATCATTATCAGCATCAATATTATTATTGTTGTTATTAGTAGTAATAGTATTAGTATTATTATATTATCATTATTCCTATTGTTGTTCTTATTATTAGCAATAGAATTAGTATCAGTATTATTTTTAGCATTACTACGGTGTTTGTTATTTTGATTGTCACTGATACTATTATCATTATTGTTGTTGTTATCATTATTAGTATGATTCTTATCATCAACAGTATTATTATTGTCATTGTTGTCATTTGAATGTTTGCCCTGTGGGAGGGGCTCCATAAACCATTCGCCACAAGATGAGCTCATAGCGTCCTCAGCTACTGGCCTCAAATTGTATGTTAATGTTGCGTTTGTGTTTGGTTTTTTTTTCCTTTGGGGATTGCCTCAACGGGACAAAGACCTATCAAAATCCAGGGAGGGTACCTCAGAACTGACTCCCTCTCTCTCTCTCCACAACTTGGAGGGGACAATCTGAACGAATCCCCTGCACAACTCGCTCGACCGGTGTTCGCCCGCCCACTCTCCCCGGGCCCCCATATTTCCCCTTGAAGCAGGACCCCATTGCACCTAGGGTGAGGTAAGCCACTCGACATGAAATTTGCCAAACTCCAAATCTTGATGCAGTATGCGCGTGTCTTTTCTCAGCCTCGTTCCCCCTCGCCCCCCGCCGTTCTGGTGGGTTGTAAAGGGACACCGAAAGGAACACCGAAATCCAGTTCTCCTTGGATATAACCTCAGTTTCTTAAACGTCCAAGTTGGGTTCAGAGGTGTCCTTTTAGCAACATAGATGGCCAAACGGAAAATGGAAGGACATCAACGAAAACCAGTGAAACCCATCAATTTCTAACCAACTGGCCAATCAAACGGACACCTACGGTAGCTGCAAACACCCACCGAGAAGATCTGCACAAGTGCTCTCACACCCAACTAATCCCTGAAAGTTAGCTCACGGTTTACCCAAAGAAAACAAGCTGCTCTTCCCTTCATCCGAAGGAAAAAACACGCAAAGCTTTGAGTTGGGGTGGTTGGGTTAGAACACCCATGGTCGGCCACCTATGCTCACTTAAGAAGTGCCCAAACTTGATCGTTTCCCCCAGAAATGGCGGCCAAGCCCAAAGCTGACTAGTCCCTCCAAAACGGAACCCGATGGGAAGTGAGTTTATGGGCTTGCTTTCCGCGGAACACCCCGAGAAAAACCTGGGCATAGAAAAAGGAAGCAGAACACCCCCGGAAAGAAATGAAATTTGCTCAGGTGATATCCCCGACAGCACACGGCGCTCTTTTTCGACCATGACGCAACCCTGCACTGCGGAATTTTACCTCACCAGAACCCTGCCGAACCCTCGCGGAACCTTGCACCACACCACCGCGAACCTTCCTTGAACCAAACAACTGGCCTGCACCAGACCACCCTGAACCTTACAACCACCTGCACCAGACCAGCCCGAAACTCCGGAACCTTCCTTGGACCTTACACCTGGCCTGCACCAGGCCACCCCACAACCTCCGGAACCTTCCTTGAACCTCCCCAAACCTGCAGAACCTTCCTTGAACCTTTCACCTGGATTGCGACAGACCACCCGGAACCTCCGGAACCACACCAGACCAGCCCGGACCTCCGGAACCTTCCGCGAACCTTAAACAGAACCAACGGAACCTCCGGAACCTTGCTCGAACCTGACTCCAAAGCTCCCCCTAGCCACCCCCAAACCTTATCTAGGCTGAGACCCCTTAGCTTTCTGCTGCTGGGGAGAGAAAAAAAAAGGCACAACCGGCCAAAAAACAACACGGCTCGCGCGAGCAAGCGCGCGCTCGACGCGCCGACTCGACTCGACTACGCAGCCCCGCGCCAGTGCGGCTCGCCAGCGGCTCGCCCGGCCGCAGGCGCTCACCGCGGCGCCGCAGCCCGCGGCGCCGCCGTTCTCCGCCGCTGCCAGGGCCGCCGCCCAGGCGGCGGACCTCGCCGGAAGTCGGCGGCGTGCTTGTTCGGCGGTGCAGGAAAGGAAGGGGTGGCCCCGGAGATTCCCTTGTTGTTGTTTTGTTTCTTGCTTCTTGTTTTTTGTTTACTTTTTTTTTTTTTTTCGCGAATGGACCGCGGGGTGGTTTTCGCGGTTGTTCAAGGGAAGTTCAAAGGTTTGTTCAAGGGAAGGTCAGGTCCAAAAAGCAAGAAAGGAAAACAAGAAGGGAAAACAGGCCACATTTTGCGGGTCCCGAGTTTGATTTCAATACGTACCTACCTGTTTGGAAGGGAAAGAAGTGAAAATCCCCGCTACAAGACATGCGAAGCTGGGATCATGGCAAAGGTGGCAAGACAACTTCTGCGGCCTACACAGACTATCGCAGGGTCATGCTCCCCCTCGATTGTGACGTCAAGGAAGTTCGGAAAGGCAAACACTCAAACAGAAATCATTCGGAGACCACCATGGTAAGATGGCGTGAAATGGATGTCCCGTTAACACCTGCAAAGCAAGCACACGGGTTGGGGCAATCCCTTGAGGTTCGTTTACAAAACATCACCTTTTGGGCGTCATGAAACAATCTGCAGGCATTGGCAACGGACCTCTCTGTTCTTTGCTAATTGGCCATGATTTTCGCCCATGTTCTTTTCACTGGAGGCCCCTGTCACACGAGGGCGTTGAGGACCGCAGGCCAGTGTAGAGTGAGTGTCCTTTTGGTGTGGTGATGCTGAAAGCGGAAACATGCGGAATCCGGATTCTCGCTATCATGTTCTGAATCAAAGGCACTGCGACCGTTGCCACGGACTCGAAAGATTAGTCGCATATGCCGTCGGTCCCAAAACCAGGGGACAAGCCTCAAATGTCCCCTGCTGGGGGAATTCGTCATCTTGGCTGCTAAAACACACCCAAATTCGGGTGATCAAAAGGGCATCCTCTCTAAAAAGAACGGCGCCTGGCAAGGTGAAAAAAAGAGGGCTTCGGCCATCACCGGCCCGTTTTTCTTGACCCAACCCAATTCCTTCCCCCCTCCCCCTTCCCCAATTCCACTTTGAGCGCGCGGCTCTGCGCAGACACTCGCCAACCTCAAGGAAAGCTTTGGGAAAGATCAGGAACCCCAGAAAGGAACCAAACAAATCCATGTGCTCCTTGTCCCTTCAAAATGGAATTCTGTGGGTTCCTTTTGGCTCGTTTTGGCGATTTTTGATGTGTCTTAGAACAGACCCTCAAATTGGTAATTGTCCTTAGGGTGAAAGGGAAAGGCCCCCTAGAAAAGAAAGCTTTGGGAGAAGAAGAAGAAAAAAAAGGAAGCCCGAAGACCAAAAAAAGGAGCCTCCCAGATGGGTTTAGGCGGGTTTTATACCGAAAATATATTGCACGCCACCCACCCACCCACTCTCTGTCTCTCTCTCTCTCTCTCTCTAAGAGTCTTAGGAACCTGAAACTGACCTGAAAGAAGGGGTCAGAGTTTTCTACCCTGACAGGCAACGGAGGCCCCTTGCCCCCTATGGAATAGAGGGTGTGATGCTTATGGCAGAGCCTTTCCTGGGGATCCTTTTGGACGAATTCAGGTTTTGGATTTGGTCTTCCCCATGTCTGGCGAAAAAATCTCGTCGAGGCACTCCAGGTTGTCAGTCTGACCAACCAAAAAGAAACGGGTGCGTTCTTTTCTTCCTTCGATCGACGGATCTGCCAACCGGGGCAACCTTTCCAACCCTTCCAGGTCCTCAGTAGAGAGGTTAGAATAAGGGTACCCTTTCTTTTGGTAGGGGAGCCCTCCCCAAAAAAAGGGGCAAAAGGGCACCTAGCTGGGGGACCTAGCCTTGGTATTTGCTTGTATAAAACCGGTTCAATCAGATGGTGGCAGCCCACGAAACCTGGCCGGAACCCAAACAACCGGAAACCCTGCCAACCAGAAAAGGTGTACCCTCCCCCACACCAACATGGAAGCTCCTAGGACCTTTTCGGAAGACTTGGTTGCAGTTTCGGAGGCCTTCTGGGAGCTTCCATGTTAGTCTGAGGGAGCGTAACCCCCCACGAACCAACGAACAGCTTTTGGTTTTGCACGCTAGCCACCAAAGTTATGTCACCCTGCCACGCGGCAGGTACTCAAAGAAGTACCCAGCAGATTCACTGATTGACTCACGACAACTGACTTCACCCCCGGCAAACTTCCGTAATGCAGTCTGGGCTGTCCGTTTTCAGATCCCCAGCTAAAAGTGGCAAACTTTTAGTGGGTTAAATGGAAACCCCCACCAAACCCTAACGTCTAAAAAGCTAAGCAAATGGCCGGGAACCACCAAGCAGGGCACTCAGTAAATATCAAGGACCCCCCTCCCTATACCTCCTTAGGGTGCTTCACGCTTCATTGGTGAGCTCGTTTTTTACCCACTAAGCTGCCAGATCTCATGCAAGCTGCGGCCAAAGCTCCGCAGAACAAACAAATCCCCCAGCTTTCCTGTATTCCAAGAAACCACCCAGTGGTTTTAAAGGGACAACCTACAGGTGAAGCAATGCCGTTTTTGTTGTAAACATTGACGCCCGAATGAGTCTTTCAGGAAACTCATCTTTCCAAGCAGCGTGTTGTAGGTGACGACGCTTGGCCGGACTCTGCACTGCTTCATCTCCTCAGGCAAGGGAGTTGAAGCTGAAGAGACTCGCAAGGAGTTGCCATTGCAACCTAGTGACTTAGTGACTCGGGGCAAAAAAGAGGACCACGGGCCATAAATCCTTCCTATGCCGCTCCGTGCTGCTCTGAATCGGTGACCTTCAAATCTCATTCGCAATTGCTACATGTGTGCCCCCCATGGCATCTTGACAACAGCTCATGCTTGGAAAACAAACATGGGCCACTCGAAGACGTGGGAACGTCTTAAAAAACCGACCCAACCGGCGCAAACACACGGGGCGTTCCTCTTGACGTCCCTTTAAGACCAAGCAACATAGGGCTAGCCCGGGGAAAAGCAAAACTTTGGTGTGATCTTGGATCATTCAGTTGAACATCGCTCCTTCTTTCTTTCACACCTCGCTGCCACGTGAAGACGGTCAGCTCCAGGGGTCGCCCCCAACAAACGACCCGCGCCTCACGCTTTCCGATGGCCAAACCCTTGAAAGCTGCCCTTGACCAAGGCGCCGCCAGGAGACCAAGGCCATGCTGCCAGTGGGAGGCCTGGGGCTTCGAGTCGAAGGAGACGGAGCTTCTTGGTGGTACTGTTCACCCAGGAATAAACCCGTCCCATTAGGGTGTTCCCTCCAAAAGTGGGCTGAATCCCCACTAAAAGGGGACACCCCCGATCAAAATCAACCAGGGGTTTATTAATCCCGGGTTAACATTAGACGTCGAGTTTAGGGGCAAAAAAGCCAACTGCCTTTTTTTGAGCTGGTATAGAAAAAAAATGCCCATATCCAGCTGAACATGACCGACATGATTTACATGGCCAAATTGTAGCTACACAATTTGGCCCCGGAAATGGGGCTCCGGAACCCTAAAGAATGTGCTCAAAGATCAAGGGAACAAAAACATGGCGCTGAGGAATGTACTCTAAGGGACCACAAATCTCTTTTGCTTCCCGGCAACTGTGGCCGATCGGAGCGGCCCTCTGCCCCATTCCACGTCCTTGGGAGTTCTAGGATTTTTGTGCGCTTCAAATGGAGAACTACAGCAGTGCCTGAATCCACTGTTCTTGCTCAATGTTCAACTCAAGCGTGATCTAAGATCACACCTTATATGTCCTTCTTGGCTGAACCACAAAGCAAAAGCTGTAGATCGCCATTTTGGAGGTCCCCTAAACAAAAGGCACACCCAAAAGCCTGCCATGGAGGATGTCCCAAGGATGGCACAGGTTACAGCTGGCCATTCCCCCCCCCACCCCTCCCCCCCCTCGTCCTTTTCAGGCTTGTTCAAGCTGGTTTTCTTCTTTTGGTTGGCTGTAAAGTAAAGGCAACTTTGGTTGAGCTAACCCTCTTTTTGGCTGCTTGAGTTTTTGCGTGTGTGGACGTGGTTGTTGTTTGGAGTCGGTAGCCCCTCCCCCCCCCCCAACCCCCCCCGGGCAGTTTGTGTTTATCGTTTTTGTTGGAATTGGTAGCCCGTTTGGACTGGTTTTAACCCCAACTTGTCTAGACTTGGTACTTCTTTGGGCTGGTTGCAAACGCACGCAAAGGGAAAGCGCCAAAGCAAAACAAACAAACCATCTAAGATTTGTATAAAAAAGAACAAACAAAAGAAAAGCCACCGTGTTCAAACCCCAAAAAAACAGATCAGCAAACTAAAGGAACTCCCCACCTCTCAAGTTCCACTCTGCCTCCCAAAGACCTTCCCCCCCCCCCGCCGGGCCTTTCGGTACGCCGCCAGCGCGGCGTTGAAACACACCGCGTCGACGTCCGCCGCGGCCTCGTCGTCGCGGAGGGCGCGGAAGACCTGCAGCGCGGCCGCCCAGCGGCTGCGCCGGCTCAGCGCCACCTGGGCCCGGCGACGGCGCGGCGACTCGGATGGGTGGCTTTGACCACTGGCGATCGGTGCGCGAAATCGGTGGCTGGTCACAAATAGGGCAACCCCAAAACAAAATGGCTTACTCCCTGGTAAATGGAAACATGGACCAAAACCTGCGGTCCAATTTCTTGTGGCTTTATTTTGACCCATTACCCAGGTGGGGAATGAGAAATGGAATGAACCGGTTTGGATTCCCCAACGAAGCAGAGGAAATGGATGGTTTATCTCTAAGACATTGCAATTCTCATTCCCTGTCCATCTCACCAGCAAGACAACCCTTCGGGCTGGCAACAAACCGGTTCTGTTTTTTGCCGCCCAAAATGAACAGAACCAACGGCATCAACATGGTCGGGACCCTCGGGACCCTCGAGACCCAGAGCCATGTGTAGAAGTAAGAAGGCGAAGCCACCCATTTATGGGGGGACTGTCCCTTACAAACCTGCATCTACCGTAGCCGTTCTATGATCCCGATTGGGTTGCTTAGGCTTGCAACAAACTGGCTCTCTCTGCTTTTTCCAGCCCACGAAACATGAACAGGACCAACAAACCTAGAAGCCTGAAAACTTGCCAACCACACTGAAGGTTGCCTTGCTGGCATAGGTGACCTTTTTAAGGGAAAATAGATGGCCCTGGTAGTTGATTGAACAACCAGGTAAACCAGGGCCCTCTGTTTTTCAACCAAATCAGCCAAAAAGGACACCTATGCTTGGTGGCCTATCCAGCAAATCTCTCTGGCAACACGCCCCGCCCGCTTGCCCCGCCAAAAACAAAAGAAATAGAAAACGAGTTCTCCGGGGCGCCACCAGGCCGGTGGCTCGCAGTAGGCGCTCTCGGCCGCGGGCAAGGGTGCGTCCTTACACCAACTCCCTGCCTGGCTCTACAAAATTTGCTTCGCGCCAGGTCTGGACGAAACCCCATTCAAAACCAACCACCCACCTTCTGATCCCGGCCATCCACAATACAGGGTGAGAGTAGATGGCGCGACTCTCTAGTAAGCAAAGGGGGGTGACTCAGCGTCATGGTAGGGTTCCTGGAAAAACAAAAATGCGATGGGACCTTTGTCCAAGGGAAAACCTCTCGCCCGGCATGGCTCGGAGCCTCCAAATTTATTCAGAAAAAAAGGGGGAAAAAAGGAGAGAAAAAAAAGGGGAAACAAAACACACGTCCGATTTTCCCAGCGTGTCATTCTTGCCCGAAATTACAAAGGCCCTCTTTCGAAAAGCAATGGGTGTGTGTGTGTGTGTGTGCTTTTTTGGGATGTTTGGGGAACTCCCCAAACATGTCGGTTTTTCTTTGGGGTCCCTTAAAGACAGTGTCCCCAAACATGTGGCTTTCCTTTGAAATCCCTTAAAGACGAACAAAACGGGGTAACCAGCTCAAAAGAAGACACGCCACCTCAATGCAACGAAAGCCATGGTGCCCCTCTACGAACTTTACCCGGTGTGTTCCAAAGCGCCCACGGAAGCAGACGGGCTGGGAGAGAAACAACAAAGAACAATGAACAAACAAACAAAAAACAGACAGACCGACCGACAGACAGACAAACAAACAAGTAAACAAGCAAGCAAGCCAGCCAGCAAGCAAGCAAGCAAGCATGCAAGCAACCAACCAATCAAACAAACAAACAAACAAACAAACAAACAAACAAACAAACAAACAAACAAACACACAAACACACAAACAAACAACAACAATATCAGACAGCAGACAGCAGACAGCAAGCAGCAGGCAGCAGGCAGCAGGCAGCAGGCAGCAGGCAGCAGGCAGCAGGCAGCAGGCAGCAGGCAGCAGGCAGCAGGCAGCAACAGGAACAGCAGCGGCAACAACAACCGCAACACAAGCGGTCGAATCGATTCGTTTTCGTCCTGGGAGACGCATGGCGAGCCATGCTGGGCAAGCTCCGCGGGCTCATCGCGCCAGCATGTGGCGTTCAGAGTGACTCCAGTGGCGGTTTGTCTCAAAATGGACCCACTCAAGTGGCTGCCACTGATTGCATGCGGCTATTGCGTGCGCGTGCGGGTGCGGGTGGCTTCAGAGCTCAAGTGGCTACCACTGAAAACCCTTGAAACCCCCCAAAAAGCGGTGCCCTCCAAAAGAAGGCACTGCCATGTGACTCCAGTCGCGGTTCGCGAACCACACGCCTCGAGCGCACAACCGGGGTGCACCAAACCTCACCGACCCAGGGCCAGTCAACTGGTTGGGATGTTTCGCTTTTTAGATGGAAGCCGGACAACGCCTCTGATTGGACTCTGTGTGCTTGATTAACCCAGGCTAAACGCTAGAGATCAACAAGCCGAAGAACCAGCGGCACGTTTTCTGTTCGCACATGCATGCGGCCACAATTCGCAGCCGCCACCTGAATTCCAACCCCGACCCAACGGCAGAGTCCTTAAACTCGGCGAATGTCTGGGTTATTCATCCGGATCCTGAGCATGCGATCTATGTACACAGTCACCGCCTCAGTCGCTGTTGGACGCCTCAGCATCGTTGCGAGTAGGCAGGTACCCTTTCAAGGTTGGTTTAAAGGGAAATCCGAACTTTGTTAAAACTTGTTTATTTGGCATTTCTTCGGCCGACTCGCAAAGGCTTTCACAAAGCCCGGAGTCGCCAGCGAGAGGAAACCTTGACCGCCCCCACCCGAAAAATTAAGGTTCTAAGAACCTGCTTAAAAGGGGTTCTGCTGGAAGGGTTCCCTCTTTCCAACAGTCATGGAAGTGGACAGGGTGGTTCCCCAAAAGGACTGTAGTTTTCCAACCCCCTCCTGTCAGCTTTCATGAGTGTTGGAAGGAGGGTATGAGAACCTTTCTGCATGGGCAGGGGAGCCCTAATACGTGCCCTGAACCAAGAGGCTTTCTAGAGACTCCCATGTGTTTCCTGGGCAGAAACTCGGGTCCACGAAGTCCGGTCCAGTCCGCACTCAGCCCGCCCATGCTGAGCGACGAGGGGCCCTATGGGCCTTCAACCTATTGCCTGATTGCCCATCAACAAGGTCAGGTCAAAGGACAGGTTCGGGGTTGGAAAAGGAGCCAAGCGTAAGCCCGCTTTGCACAAATCACAGCCTCTGGTCCGTGCAAGCGATAAAGGCTGCCGTGTCTCATCCCTCACAGAGCCAGACTTAGACCTGCGAATGGTTTGTTCGCGGCTGGGATGGCATGTGATTCCCGCCGGGGAACTCCCTTTGAGGCATGCCCAAGCAAGGAAACCTCAGTTCCCAAGTGCAACCATGGCAAGCTCGCTATTTGCTGCGTTGTTCGTTCCATCATCTGCGGATATGATTGTGACAACCCCCATTTTCCTAGGATCCATCCGGTGCATTTTTCATCAACCACCTGCTTGCTTGACAGACACTCACACTGGTCCTTGAACCCTCATACTTGTTGAGTTCCCGGATCAGACTCAAAGCTTCTTTCAGACGACAGCGACTCCTTCCTGAATGCCTTCAATCTCCGTCTTGCTACGGGGGGGCTTTCTTGGAAAGAGTGGGATTCCAAAACCCTCGGATCACCTTCAGTGATCCTCATTGGAGCTAATGTGTGTGTGTGTGTTGCATGCTGGTTTTCCTTTTGGCTTCCCTTTAAGCCAGCCCCCAAACAGGGGTACCCTCACACCACACACACACACACACACACACGCACAGTTGTGTGCTGTGTGTTCCATGTTGCCTTGGAAATGTTAGTCATGAACGCTGTATCCGAACTTCCTTCCACCCCAGAAACATGACAGAGTGACAGAGTTGCGAGAGAGGGAGAGAGAGAGAGTGAGTGAGAGTATACTGAGTCTCTCCCCTTGACCTACGGTAGACAGACCTCTATGTAGCACGCATGCTGCGGGTGGACGAACCTGGGAGATTCAATAGATGCTGGGACAAACCATCTACTGGTGTGTAGACTTCGTCCACTACTCATATTGGAGATCTGCCTTTCTGCACGCCTTTTCCCTCACCCTAAGCTACCCGCCCAAAACCTGAAAGGGACTCCCTACAAGACTGGTGTGTAAATAGAGGTCCTTCAGCTTCCATTTTCTTGGCTGTGTGACCCTTCAGATTGGTAAGCGAAACAAAAGGACCAGCCACTTGGGGGGGTCCATGTTCTTCCATTTGCGGCCGCTGAAAAAGAAATAGACATACTTCCTGTAGGTTCCCTTCAAAACCAACAGGGGAAATACAAAAAGATAAGCCCAGGTGGTATCCCCTACAGCCCCACTGGAACCGAATCTCCACAACCCTCCCCTGAAAGCTGCCAACAAAAAAATCTGGGCCTATCGACCCCGTAGCTGAAAAGCTGTTGGGGAAAGAGTCGTCGCTTCGGCAAGAAAAAGGTCCCACACTTTTACCACTAAAATGGCAACCAAACCCGAGAAGTGACTTTTTTTATGTCCGAAACGGAACTCAGGGAGTGAGTCAAATACAAAAAAAAAGCAAACCCAAGTTTCCCCTGACCCTTTCGGTGTCCTTTTCGCCCTGAGCCTGGCGCCATGGGCGCCGGCAGCGGCGTCGCCTCCCGCCGGGCGCGCGAGCGCGCCGTGGCGTCCGCCACCTGCGTTCCGCCCAAAAACGTCGGTGCCCGGCGGGCGCTTTGGACAGGCGGGGGGTGGTCAAGACTATGGACCCTGTTGGGACCCTTTTGCTCTTTTTTGTGAAGGCCGCCTTTCGAGGAGGATACTAAAACGGGAAAATACGCTGGACAAGACCTTGTGTGGTTGCTTGGCAGCTTTCTGGGGTCAATGCTGGTGTATTTTCTCCGGGGTGTTACTCGTTTTGGTGGTTTCTTTGGGGAATCTCTGGCTTGGTGTTGTGCTGGAATGTCTGCTGACTTTTGCGGTGGTGTTGCTTGTGTTTGTGGTTGCCTCGCTGTGGTGATTAGGCTTTGTTGGTTTCGTGAGGTTGTCCGGTTTTCCTTAGAACACGCGAGAACAGTTAAGCCATTCATGTTTTTTGGGAGCCCCGTGTATCTCTGTTTGGACGCTTTGGGATGGCATCTATTTTGCCCCCTTGTTGGGGCCATACGAGTCAAAGGGCGTCCCGAACCAAGTGGCGGCCTTCGCATGGGTGTCTTTTGGAGAAAAAAGGTGTTGGCGGCTTGGCGGTAGAGGAAAAAACCGCAACCAGGAATCGCCTTCAACGTTCTACCAACCGAAAAGGACACGGGGGGTTGCCTTGCAAGGGCTTGGCAATGGCCTCATGCCTGAAATGTGTCAGGATCTGTGAACCGGAAAAAAAAAAAAAAAAAAAACTGAAGGAACACACCTCAAGAAGGGAATCTTGCAAACGTAGCTTGCCTTACCCTTTGAGGCCAGCCCCATTTGCCTTGTGCGATGCTTCCTGAGAGACCCCCCAGATCCTCAAGGGAGGATCGCCCAAGAAACTCCCAACTGAGAACCCGCAGGAAGGATGGCGGGTATCACATAGAGGGTCTAGCTATTGCTTACGCTTGAAACATCACCCATCCTCGGTTGGTCCTTTGAACAAATGTCGAACACATCTGCCAACTTGCTGGTTCTGAGTAGGAAATGAGGAATCCAACTGGAAATCCCCGACTGAGAACCTGGAAATTCCCCACCCTGTTGGTGTCCTTTGCAAAAAACCAGGCAATGATGGGCTTCATTGTGGGAGCCATACAGCAACGGACAAAACAGTTTCCACTGGTGCCTGCGAGCATTACATAGAGGATATGCTTTTGGTTCGACAAATCACCCATTCTGTGGTGTTGTCCTTTACACAAAGCACAAGACATGCTGCCATGTTGGGAAACATAGCAGGCAGAAAGCCGAAAACGGGTCCGTTCAAGTGAGCAGCCCAAAGCATTTTGAGATCGGACTCAAACACCGCTTTGGGTCCTGGCGGCTTCCCTTGAAACCAGTTCGAGGCTCACGGTTTTGAGGATGTCGTTCAAAAAAAAGCCCCGCAAAACCCCCCCAAAAAAAAGGAAGAAGAAAAAAGAGGAAAAAACGAAAGAACCGTTGGCCCGTGCAAATGTAGAGTTCCTTGGAACCCGTTTTGCAAACGCCACGCTCCACAAAGTGCGCCCGTCTCAGCCAGGGTTCCAAGTTTCCGAGAAAAATAAAACCAGGGGAAAATTCGCCTCGGCCAGGGCCGCGAAGCAGTTGGACCTTCTCAAAGACCTTCCCAAACCCTCCCACGACCCATGTTGCACAGCTCCTGCTGCCTCCAGCCCCCCCCCCAAAGCAAGCCCCTGAGTCCGTCAGATCCTTGGTACCTTCCCCGGAATGCAGGCGGAGGCAGGCAGCGCGAAGCGTTTATAACGAGAAGAATCGCTTCGGCCAATGGAAGGTGACCTGCTTCTGTTTTTCTTCTTCAGGGACGTCCAGGCAACCCCAGCCCCCGAACCGGACCTTCCGGCCAGATCTAATTTGTTTTCTCGCGCTCCCATAGGCCTTCTGACTGAACTCCGAGGTGGACAGAGCCTCGATGGAGTATGCCTCGATGAGATCCTGGACTAGAACGGGAAGTCCTGGAAAACTGTCGTCCTTTTAAAAGGGACCCCAAGTTCCAGAGATGGGTACCCTCCCGCACTTTGCACATGGAACCTAACATTCGGGACGAAGTCCCTTTAAAAGGAAAATGGTCCAAACCAGGACCCCACGTCCGGAGAGTTCCACGAAGTGTTCCCTGGGCTTCTTAGGGGACACCCAAATTCATGGCGGCTACCGTAGTGATCCAGAAAATGGATGGATAAAACAAAAGCGCTGCTCGTTGGTTTGATGCTGGCTACCATGGTGACGCGTTCATCGTGTAAGTGAAGTTGGGTCGTTGGGCCTCAGGGATTGATGCCTGGGCTGCCCAGCAGAAACTTCGTATCCCCAAATATTGGCTCACTTCCGAATCGAGTGGATCTGCCCAAAGTCCAAACTGTCTACTCACCACTAAGATGGTCTCAGAAAGTGACTAAAGTCCAGGAACTCAGGGAGTGAGTTAGAAATCAGGGCAAACCCGGCAACTGCCTTCATACTGGAGCTTGTCTTACCCCCGGGATGGGTGTCTTGGACTCTACACGAGGTGTCCCCAACACGAAACGAGACAAGAATTCAGTCCCCTGGCTTCTGGTGGGGGAAATTTAGGGCTCGTCCCCCTCGTCCCTGCCAAATGGACAAGTTTCATTTTGACTGGTCTTCCAAACAGGGAAGAATGGAGCAATAGATGAAATACCAGGTAAATCGCATCCCCCCTTCCCCATTCCCATTGAAGGAACCAGGCTGGATACACAAACCATCTACAAAGAAATGGGGATCTCTTGCTTGGGTAGCCCCAAAGGGTCAAAGCCTCAAACAGTGTTTGCAAGATTCTCACAAATGGGTTCCTTGTCGTTTCTACACACCGGCGACCCGAAACAAGACGCCGTTCAAATGGGTACCCTGGCTGGGTGACGCCACCGGCCCACCCGCCCACCCCGCCTTCATGTCAGCCGTCACGCCGGCATGAAGATCTTTCCGCCTCACCGTGAAGCCTTCCAACTTGACTATTCCTTCCAGCTTGAAGCCTTCCCACCGACCACAGCTATCCGTCTCAGGTGAAGCCTCCGACCCGGAAGAAACAAGAAAAAGCCTGAGTCAAAACTAACCTGAGACGTCGAAGACCCCCAAAACCCCATTACCACCTTCTGGTTGGCACACCCAGACCAGTCACCAGCGGAGTAACAGAACCCGAAACTCCAACCACATGGGAAAATGTCTCTTGCCATATCTGAGAGCTTCTGCGCTCTCAGTGGCATTCTTGGAACCGAGAAATGAGGAAAGTGATGAGCGGAAGGGACAGCAGCAAGCAGAGCCACGCTTCCTTCCGCGCCATGGCGGTCTGTCCGGTCCTGCTCCTGCGTTTAGAAACCAAACGGGTTGGAGCCTTCAGGCAACCACCCACTGAACGAGTGGAACAAATGCACGTCCATCTCCAATCTCATGCCCGGGGGAGTTTGTTTCCTGGCTTCGAAGTGTGGATTTGGGAGGGTCTTATTTCGTGGGACGTGGGAGGGGAGGGGGGGGGGGGGCAAATGAGTCATACTCAAACCCCGGCATCAAAATAGTCTATCCCATGTAAAGAACGAAAAAGGCGGCCACACCCATCTCTGGCTGGGACTGTCCCTTACTACCCTCCAATTGCCCGGGTTTTGACTGCGACTCAAATTCGCTCTTAAGCCCTTCAGGCCTTATTTGAGCTCCCTGGGCCCCCTGATTCTCCGTTTCGCGAGCATGCTCGAAGACTCATAGCTGGTCATGACGCAACCGATGTTCCAAATCCAGCAAGGCTGGGGGTGAATTCACACATATCTAGTCTTACATCTATGTACATCTATATAAATGTATGTCTATATACATATACATACATACGTACATATATATATATATATGTATATATCCTACACACTTGGAAAGACGCGAGGCGTTTTTTGGGCAGACTATTTGAACAACCCGACGCTCTGCCACCCACCGACTCCAAGTGCCGGCCGAGCGGCATCCAGTAGGCCCCCAGGCCCCCCGGCGCTGGCCTAAGGATCCGTGGGAACTCCCAAAGAAACCTCAGGTTGTTGTGTTTTTTTTTTTTGTTTTTTTTTTTGGGGGGGGGGGGGGTGATTTGTTGTGCTTCTCTTCAGTTTTGTTGGGTCTTTAGGTTTTTGGGCCTTTGGGTGCTTTTTTTGCTCAAGGAGGTTGAAGGGTGTTGTTTTTTTGGTTTGGTGTTGGTGATTTTGGTGTTTTGGGGGGGGGGGGGTCCGGGTTTTCGGGTGTTCTGTTGGTGTGGTCAACAGGCGCCCCCTCCCCTTGTTCGATTGAGGGAACCATTTCACCATCACACATGTCTGCATTTTTTTGGGATGGGACCCCCCTCCAAAAAAATGGCGGTGTTCGGTTTTTCTTTGGGACTTCCCTCTAAAACCATATGTACGGCTTCAACAGGCCCGTAATTTTGGCCCACAGGATGAATAGATTCCTGGCTGTACGTCACTTGTGAATTGAGAGTAGATCCGGGGTCAATACTACTGTGCTGACACGCGATCTGCATCATTTCACCCACCGGCCTCTCTGTTTCTTTTTGAAAGGGGCCACTGGGCAGTGAACAACATGCAGGGCATTAACATCAGCTGCTCATTAGATGACAATGAGCATAGAGCTCCAAACATTGGCGACTTGGGGTCTCCCAAGGTGACACAGGCGTCAGGCCCAACGCCTTTGCTGCAGGCCCTTACCCTTCAAAGACAACTCCACCCAACTGTCGTTCTGAATGGTGTAATGTTAACCCGATATTGATCAACCCCAGTTGTTTAATAAGGGGGTGGGGGCCCCTCCAAAAGTGATGATTCCCCACTAAACCCAGGGACAATGGGTTGTCTACTTTCCCTTGGTTCAACGCATCGGGGGGGTCCTTCAATGCGGGAGCTGGGCACAGAATCCGGAGTTCCTTCGGCTTAAACCATACAACGAGAAGAGAAGTGGTAGAGGGAACCCTGTTAAATGGCTTCTAGGTCCTTGCCAAACCGCATCCATGTTGCAAGTCCCCAGCCCGCAAAGCTTTGAAAACTGTGGACACTCCCCCGGCAGTGATTTAAGGCTTCCCATTCCTTCCCATTTCGTGAAGCTCATCGCCAAGTGATCCCGTCCCTCCCGCTGTTACGTTTGTTGCCATCCCCAAAACACCGGTCGCACTCAGCGGTGTTCCGGAACTCCCATACGCCCGACCCAGCCACTGGTGAATTTCAGGGACTGAGCCTCCCTAAGTCCAGGAACTCCATTGAAATAAGAGAGATTTATTTGTGCACATCTTATCTCCTTATCATAGAGTCATTGAGTTGTCCCCATGATTTACCCGAGTCCTCGCTGTCCTCAGATCTGCTAAAGGTTTAACTTGCAGTGGGCTAAATACGGAAACCCAACCAACTAAACCAACAAAAATAAACGCGAAAAGCCTAAGTTGGGAACTGCCAAGCACAATGATGTGCACCAAATGCACCGCTTGTTTTGCACAGATCATGAGATCATTTAGTTTAGTACAACCCGGTTCTATTTACCCTCCTACCAATTAACATGGAAGCAGACAGGGGTTCCCTTTAAAGGGAAAATGATCTTCCAAACCCCCCCCCTCCCTGTCAAATTCCATGTTAATTGGTGGGAGGGTGGCTACCCCAGATTCAGCGCCTTTACCGGTTTGTATATTACTTAGATTGTTCAAACACATTGTTGAATTCTAGTTTAACAAATGCATCAAGACAGCACTCGGCGAACTGCTCTCGCGCCTCTCACTCTCTTGGGGCCGCCACCCTTCCAGCGGCTCCGTGACGACCTCGTGGGAGGGGCTGTCAGCCACCTGCACCGAGCTGTGGAAAAGCCGGTGGATTTCAACCAATTCTTTCAACCATCGTCCGGAGGCTGGTGGACTAACTGGATCCCTTTAAAAACAAGCAGCGCAGGAGGAGGAGGTTGAAAAGAAAAGGATCCCCGGAAGGAATGGGAAGGCACAGAACAAGAACTGGTGGACTAACTGGATCCCTTTAAAAGCAAGCAGCGTAGGAGGAGGCCCCACAAGGGATATTTTCCGTTGGGCTTCCCAAACGTCACGCAACTCGAGGACCAAAAACAGAGCCCAGCTTGAAGTGGTAGGGCCTCGTTCTCCAATGACTTTCCGGTGGGAAACCCCCTACCATTAAGAAGGGTCTTATGGACCTAGGAGAAAAAGGACTGCAGACTGCCGGACTTGACTGAGGGAATTTGAAGGGCCCAAGAGATCACTGGCTGCCTTACATGTCCCACTAACCCAAAAGGAAAGTCAATGAACACTGGCAGCCCAAAAGGTGATGCTTCAAGCGCCCGAAAAGGACTCCTGATCGATGGACTAGCGGACTGGTGGGCTCAAATTGGCGGATTGAATTCACTGGCTGTGGGCCAAATGCAAACTAGCGAGCGACAGAACTCACCACACATCCGGCCGGCCTTCGTCAGTTCAATTCAAGCAAACCAGCGCAAAGGGCCAGTTCAAAACTGTCTGCCAGGCTTGTATGAGGAACAACTGCCGCGTGCATCGCAGGGAGTTCTGTGAGGCAAGTGAAGTAAATTGGGCGACCGATTTGGAAAAACAACCCTCAGTTGAGACGCAGCTAAGCGCAAGGATCAAGGCCGGGTTTCACCTAACTTACTTACATTCATTGAAATGAGAGGAGGTGAGAAAAGAAAAGAGTCAGACGAGTCATGTAAGTCATCTAGTCTTTGTACTCGGTGGTCTCGTCACCTTCCCGTCTTCCACTTGGAGTTGCCCGAAGTTCTCGCCAATCCAAACTTTGAGAGCGTGCGGATGTTTCTGGAAACATCTCCGTTGCAAGTATCTTAACACGCGGGAACTGGGAAATGACGACGAGTCCGGGTTTTGGGAACGAACCTGAAGGGGATTCCCTGAACGCAAACCATAGCGGATTGTTTATAGGGGTCATTCCCTCATTCCCTGCTGGGAAGTAACCGAATTGTTCCTGATCATCCTACTGAATCAAGACAAACTAGGGTAAGAATCTGATTTGCGCCTAACCTTGCTCAATGATCTAGAATAATCAAAACAATCAGCTGATTCAGGCGCCGCCCGCACCAGCCAAGCCCCAACCCAGCCGCATCGTCGTCCAGCTGGGCAAGATTTGGCCTAGAGCGCCCCATCCCAAATGCCTCACAACAAGAACCCGAAGGCAAACGAAGTCCCTCAAGCGTCTGAAAGCGCGGCGCCAGCGGCGGTCTTTTGCAGGTGCGCAGCCGGTGTGGCTAAGGTACCTAGGTGGCCCTCCACTCCTGAGCAAGGATGTCCACCGGGTCAAATGAAATGCTGAAGAATGCGGCGCGTTCTTCACATCGGGGGAGAGACTACGGGTGCATCGTGCACCACTCACACGGCTGCGTAGGTGATGGCATTCCCGGCGCTCGGTCTTACGGCTCCAGAGGCGGCCCACCATGAAGGCCAAAGCCGTCGCCACCATGAGGATGATGATCAGCATCATCCCCTGGCCTCTCTGCTTTGGCACCCGTGGCGCTGCTTGCCGATCCGCCACCTTGGAGCCCGACTTGACTCCCTTGCCGTTGCCCTTCTTCCTGATCGTCACCGTCATGCTCCCCCGAAACTTCTTGTGCGACTTCTTCTTTGCTGCTGTGAACTCCGGGCAGTGCACCAACTGCACCTTCCCGTGCTTCATGACATCCGCCATGTCCTGGCGCGTCGCGAGCTTGGTCAGGCCGTCGGCCATTTGCCGTTCGCTGCTGACCCACCTCCATTCCGCCTTCAGTGAGTCGATGGCGTCCTTTACGCACAGAATCTCCAGTGCCGCTCGCTTGTCCAGGGCGTCCGTGACGATGGCACATTTGCCCCTTACCATTCAGATTTGCGCTGTTGGAGATGCCCTGGCGCACGCCTGTGCCTCTGCAGCCAAACTCAAGCGGCACATCCACGACACCAGGGTGTAAGGCACCGCCTTGCCGATCAGCACCTCCTCACTGCAGGCCCCGATCATAATCCGCTCTGGCTGGACAGGTCGCTCCTGACGGCGATCTTCGCAATGCGCAAAGCCACCTGACCGTTGGCCTTCGCAAACCTGAGCATCTTGTTGAGCTCCTGGAGGTACTTGCCATCGCCCTTGTTCAAGCCTCCAGCCAAAATTGACACAGAGGCATTGAGGAACGGGGCTCAGGCCGCTCTAGGGCTCCGATCAGGCCGCAAGCCTTGTTTATCTCGCTTGCGCTGAGGGGCTCCATCTTCCTGTTCTTGCCGATGTCGATGGGCAGAACCTTCTTGAAGAACTCCTCATAGTCCAGCGTAAGCTCCTTCTGCGCGGTCATCTTGATTCGGCCCCCACAGTTGAGCTTGCCGAAGTCAAAGCTCTTCTTACTGCGTGCCAGGGCGTCCATGACGTCTCGATCGCCACGCTCGCCTCCGATCATCATGTCGTCGACGTGGAGGGTCCAGCCCCTTCAGGATGTTGCGCTTGTTGTAGCGCAGGTACGCGCACTTGTCCAATGGATGGCGCCGAAGGGGAATTGCGCGGAGCCGCCTGTCAGCTTCTTGCCACCAGAGAAGAGGCGGCCGCTGCGTTCGAGTAGTGCTGAGCAGTCTGGCGGCAACATCACGATGCTGTCGCCGCTGAGACATGCTGCTCGCACGTCCCCACACAGCAGCTGCCACTGCTGGTTCACGCACAGCATGAGCTGAACCGTCTTGGCATTGCGGCTCTCGGATGGCGCGGCCTTGTCAAGGTGAGCAAGGTCTGGATCTTGAAAACCACGCAACACGAGGCGTGCTTTTGCCTTGTGCCGGGGTCGCTGTCGTCTCCGTCATTGACCCGCTTCCAGGTCAGCACCCACCGGGCAGCACTGACTCTGCAAGTCCCATGCGCGCCGGGGTCTACACGGGTTTCTTGAAGTAGCTGCTCAGATTTTCCACCTTGGCCTCGACGAACTGCTGCCGCTGCTCCACCGTGAGGGTCAGTGAGGGGGGTGGATGTCCACTCTCCTCCACCATCGGCCTCACCTGCCTTGGCAAACACCGCAGCAGGGACGTGCCATGAGCCACCCATACGCGCTTGGGTTTCCAACGCTGCTCGATTGCCACAACGCGAGCGGGTCTTCTCCAGATCGCCTTCAAAAGGTGGCTGGCCCGTGACACACGCCAAGATCAGCCATCTCCATGTCGCCCACCAAATCCCAAGCTCTGCCGGTCATCCGCCCGGCAAGCTCCATCTTTCTGTAGAGCTCGGCCCTCTTGTGGTACTCCGGTAGTCCTTCTGGATGTTGGTGAAAACCGGAACGTGTGAGTGCGCCTTGCCTGTGCAGGCAGTCTCTGAGGGCTGTTGCTCGCTGCCCTTTCCTCCCTCCTTGGGCATGATCTTGCCGCCGAGGTTCTCAAGGGCGAAGCCAATGTCCCTGTGCCGGTCTCAGCCGGTTCCGCTACCAATACAAGAACTCGAAGGCAAACAAAGTCCCTCAAGCGTCTGAAAGCGCGCCGCCAGCGGCGGTCTTTTGCATGTGCGCAGACGGTGTGGCTAAGGTACCTAGGTGGCCCTCCACTCCTGAGCAAGGATGGCCACCGGGTCAAATGAAATGCTAAACAATGCGGCGCGTTCTTCACACCTCACGTTTGCTTAGTGTCCAACTCCTGGGCAGGGCATTTCGGGAGGACCTGAACATAGCACATCAATTTAAAAACGTTCTGAGCTCTTTCCTTGAAAAGATTAGCACTGGAGTCGAATGAACATGTGCTGCAAGGATTATTCTTCATGCGCAGTTCAGTGCACACCAAAACTTGGGGACAGTCATTCCGTCAAGCGGACTCTTACATGGTTACCAAGACACCTTGAATGGTTGATGACCACCCACGGCAACCTCCATTTGCAACCTAGCTAGCACCAAGAGAGTCATATCTCGTCGCATGTTCCTCGATATACACGGACATCTCTCAAAATTGGGGCTAAAAGTGGTTATTCAATGTGGGATTTGGGGGGATACCTTCAAGCTAAAAAAATCAATATCATGCGATATAGTGTCGTAATTATTCAGCCATTGTATTCTCTTTTGCAACAAAGACACACACACACACACACACACAAATAGGTTGTCAAAGCACGTCAAATGCATCACGGTCATGGCTTTTTTAGAAGCCCTTACAATGGCTAGCTTAGATCCAAGTTAGGGTTGGTGGCCGTCCGGGCCAAGCCCAAGTTACCTCCAGAGACCTGTCGGGAGCTGAGGCTCCGACAAGTGCGCCACCAGCTTTTCCCGATAACCCTCCACCTCGCAGTTTTCGAATTCCAACTGAGTTAGAGCTGTGCCCCTAAGTGGGGTGTCAAAGTAGGACACAAAAACGAGCCTCCAGATTTCCCTTTGAAGGAACCCACAAAAAAAGTGCTCTCAACACAGAGACCGAAATTGTTGAACACGTGGGCTCTGCATCTGCCGAGCCCCGGGCAGCCACACAGGCATTTCCCAGCAGGTTCAAAGTGTCGATACTCCTTGGCCGATCAAAACACTCCAGACTCGCGACCGGCGAGTGGCGTCAGCTGGCGTGTTGAATTCCTCTGACCAACATGGAAGTAGACGTTTGGGGCTTTCCCCAAAAGGAGAGTCGTCCTCCAAAAATGGTTCTTCAGCTTCCATGATTCTTGGGAGGACGCCTCGGAATCTGAAAGAGCTTTCAGGCTTAAAGGATCGGCAGGCAAGGCGATTTCAGCACGCGCAACTGAACCCTTGTTTGCCCATTGCCAAGGCTCCGCGGCAGCTCCCGAGCATCGAAATCCGCCTCAGCGGATGCAAAGCACATCCGGCGGGCGACCGGACGAGGGACGCCGGCCAGGCAGTCTGTTGAGCTTCTGCTACCACCATATTTATCAACCCGAGTTTGTTAATAGGGGGGTGGGGGCCCTTCCAAAAGTGGTCTGATTCCCCAGCCCTGCTCCCTGCTCCCTGCCTGCCCCCCCCACACTAAACCACCCTCCTACCCTCAGGTCATTCACTACACCAGCAAGATTAGGAGAAAGGTTTTTTGGGGGGTCAGTGTGTTCCTGGCCAACAAGCCAAACCAATTCGGAGCGACCACAAAACACCGCGTCCATCCGGCACGGGGCCCCGCTTGGGGCCGCCGGCAATCTGGTTCCGAGACAGGTCCAGGAATTGCAGCTGCCGCAGTTCGGTCAAGTTCTCCACCACCGCCTCTGCGACTCGATGCGCGCGAGTCAACCCCGGTATTGGAATCTATGGTTTCCACTGCCAAACCACCGCCAGGGTGGTCTGGAGTATATACCCTGAAAATGTAGTGGCTAGTCTGTATCTCCCATTAAACCCCTGAAAATGTGGTCTTTAAATGGCTCCCAGCTTAAAAATTCTCCAGAAAGGGCTTTCCGTGAGAGTGGAAGACCCCAATGCCGAATATGGGTGTGTTTCTTTGGGGGTGCCCCAAAAACTGGTGCAAAAAGTGGGTCCCTCAAATACAACCACACACCCATATGTGTTGTGGTTTCCTGCAAGGGCTGCTTTTTCTCGTCTTTGTCGGTCGGTCGGTCGGTCGGTCGGTCGGTCGGTCGGTCGGTCGGTCGGTTAGTTGGGTGGCTGGCTGGCTGGCTGGCTGGCTGGCTGGCTGGCTGCGTGGGTGGGTGGGTGGGTGGGTGGGTGGGTGGGTGGGTGGGTGGGTGGGTGGGTGGGTGGTTGTCTGCGTGGGTGGGTGCGTGGGTGGGTGGGTGGGTGGGTGGGTGCGTCCGTGTCGTCACAAATCCAAACCGGCTTCTAGCTCGGGGCTGTCCCCACGGTCGGCCGGTCGGCACAGGCCTTGAAGAAACTTGAGTGGCGCCCGGTTCTACCAGCATGGCGAGTTAAATTTGTCAGATTGAAGAGGCCTTGCTATGATCCAACATGAAAACAGCGTAGAACAAACCGGGGTGTGTGTATATATATATATATATACGTATATATATATATATATATATATATCGGTATCCTTTTGGTATCCCTTCACAAAAAAACGACAACACCCCACTTCAACAAGCAAAGCTCCGGCGCTCCGCTGGGCCCCGGGCAATCCGGTTGCACTGCAAGGCCAAGAACTGTAGCCTGAAGGCGTCGAATGTTTTCCCAAAAAGTATGGGGAAAGCTGGAGAGCGATCCGTACTAAAATGGTCAAGAAGACCCAGAACCATGTTTCAAGAGTCACAAAAGGCGGAAATCTCCGGACCCATCTATGGTTGGGATTCGCCGTAAACCTTCATCTACCCGAATCCGGGTTTTTGAGGCCCCAAGCGCCTCAAAAAAGATTGAAGCCCCCGCGGCCAGGTATTTTGTTTCTTATTTGTACTTCGCTTAACTGGGCTGCCCTCAGATCCCCTGCTTAGGTCAAATGGAAACTTCCACCCAACACTAAAAGTCTAAAAAGCTAAGGGGATGGCTGGGAGCCACCAAGTTAAGATGGTTTTCTTATTTGTACTTCACTTACCTTTCCTCCCAATAACATGGCACCTGGTGGAGGGTACCTGGAAGATCAGTTCCTCTTGGAGGGACCCCCTGTGAGGCGCCATGTTAGTGGGAGGGAGGGTAAGGTCTTTCACCTGTAAATCACCAGTCTTGTTTGGGCCTCAAGCGCGAAACTGTACATCAGGTGTTTTAGTCTTGAAAGTGTTCAAGCCAAGAAGGAACTGCTCCTTTGTCATATGCTATATTTAAAAGTTAGAGCCGCAGCTTAAGAAATGTGTAAGTGTGTAAGTGTGTAAGTGTTTCTCTGTGTTTGCGTGTGTGGGTGTGTGCGTATGAGCGCTAGTGTGTAAGCTACATCCCCAAACATCCTCATTCACAAGGATTTGGATCCTCCAAAGCCAGTTAAGGTGCTTAATCAATACCCCACCCTTTGTTGGCATCATTATCCCCTTTCATCTCGGCCACGTGAGTAACAAACAAGACTACTTCTTAGTTTCTCATTTAAGGCCCCTGGAATGGTCTGAAACCCAAGGAAACCCCCTTGTCGCCCTCCCCACATCAACCATGGCTTCAGCTTCCTCTTAGTTGATGGTTTGGGGCCCGGTGGTTGGGTGGTTTGGGAGGGGGTTCCCGAAACCCATTTGTTCTCTACAAGAGCCAAGGCTTCAACTCCGAATTCAAGGCACCAATCCAAACCAAAAAACCGCCAACTGCATCCAGTTGCCGGACACCTGAAGAAATAATTCCCCGTGTCTCGCCTCCGTTCTTGTCCCTTTTCTCCAAGCGAAGAAAAACCATTGCGAAGGCGATGCGCGCCTCGGCAACCAATCCAGATTCTCGATGCGGCGGAGACGGTTCGCCTGGAGATACAGGACCTGCGCTGCTGGCCAAAAAGAAGAAGAAAGGCGCGCGCCTTGAAATGGGTGTGACCCTCCAAACGGTTGGTCTCCTTGGGGTCCCAATCTCAAACCAACCAAAAAGGGGCCCCCAAAAGTTGCGGGGAAAAACTGTTTAAACAACTTGCTGGTTCTGAGACTCCGGAGGAATGACCCCGACATTCGCTTCAGTCAAGGGTTCCTTCCCCCGGAAAGTTGATTCCCGAAGAAACTGCAAGACAAACCAGCTGGCAACTCGGCAAAACTAAATTTGGACAGCGGCTCTCTCATGAAGAAAAACTCAAGCACCCTCTGGAACAAAAACAACACCTAGGTCCTCCAATAGAGAGGTTAGAATTAGGGTACCAACTTTTTTCTGTAACCTATTTTAGTAGGGGAACCCTGCCCAAAAAAGGGTAAAAGGGCACTACCTAGACAGAGCGGTGTTGTCATACCTCTCGCTTTGACACTCCCAACCTTCCGACGGTTGCGGGAAATTGCCTTCCTTCAGGGTAAGACGAACATGGATCATTCACATTCACTTTATCACTTTGACGGGGCGCAGAACGTGGCAACCTCAAACTCTTGATTTTCGCCCCCCCCCCCCTCTCCAAAGAAAAAACAAAACAACCTTAAAATTTGGCTTTTCTTCGACACAGCGCTCGCCGGGAGCAAACCTTGACCGCCCCCACCCCCAACAGTAAGGCTCTACAAACCTTCTTATAAAGGGTTCTGCCTGGGAAGGGTTGCCCTCTTTTCTGAGGGTTTTTGTATTACACCCTGGGATTACAGGCTTGGGAAATGACCCAGAATGGCCGGTTTTATCCGGAAATGTGCCTAAATGGGGTCAATAGGTGTATTCCCAGGGTGTAATACAAAAAAACCCTTACATCTGTCCAACAATCATGCAAGTGGACCTAAGAATGACACACCCATTTTCCACATGGCCATGGGTCAAGATCCCGTGCCCCCAGTCAACATCCCAATCCCCACTAAAATAGACTAAAATGGGTGGCGCACCTACCCCAAAATGGTACCATTCGTTTTGACCCATTTTCCACATGTCTCCTTTCGGAACGTTCGAGCACAAAGCCAGAATCACCCTTTTGGAAGCAAGCCTTACCACTCCGCCAGTATAACCAAGAGTGCCATATTGTTGACCGGAGGAACGAAAAAACGCTGGGCAAACTCTTCGAAGTTCACTTGGTTGGTCCCAGGATCTGCAAAGAATTATACTCTCTGCTGGTAAGTGTGGAAATAGTGATTGTCCAAAAGGTTCAAAGATGAAAGTAGTAGCAATGAGTAACCAAGTTGAGTTGAGGTTCTAAAGACAGCAGCTGAAGGAAGATCTGACTATCTGCTACAAATGAGCGAAACGCCCGCCAAAACATATACATGTGTTAGCTATGTTCCCGTCAAGTTGCTTTTTTAGTCAAACCCTTTTCCGATCTCGGATGTGTGTCAAGCTTCAGGACTGAGATTTGGAAGGGAGGCGGAGGTGTGTCAAAAATGACAGAGACAGTAACCGCGCGAAGCATTTGCCAACTCCGAGATCCCCATAGATGGAGTCCGCCAGAAGCTGCGGCTTTCTTTGGCAAGGGATGGGATCAGTGGGAAAACAAAACGAATGGCTCACTGTTAGAGTTGATGGGCCGGAAAAAAGCAACCAAACCTGTGCAAGCCACCAAAATGGTCCAAACCTGAAAAGTTGAAATAGTCCATGAACTCAGAAAGTGAGATAGGGGAATTTCCCCTCCACTCTGGGGACTGCAAGTTTTGATCCCCTTTAGTTCCTTCGCAAAGCTGCCGCCTCTTTCTGGGCAATGTAAATTTGCAGAGCTCCGTGGGCCTAGCCTGCGTGCCACGCTCTCAGTCTCTCCCCCCCCCCCCCCCCCACCCCTTCTTTTGCGACGCGGCAGGATGCGATGCTGCGAGACAAAAACGGTCATGACTCATGACTATCTGTCGCTCCGCGCCAGAAATCAAATACAAAAAAAAGGAGTCTTCCGGCTTCAGCGTGCTTCTTTCTGCGGGTTGTGTTTGCTCAGAGGCGTGGCCGCAGCGAATTCATTAGCATCGCCGTGGTCCTTGACTTCAGCACAGCTCTTGCCAGTTCGCCGATGCCTCTGGCCTTCTTATCCAACATCTGGTCCAATTCTGGGCTCAAGCCGCCCAGTCGCCGGTGCTGCTGCAGGTCGGCAGCCAGGGAAAGTAACGCCATGTCGTCTTTGGAGTTCTGCAGCATCTCGCTGTCGATCTGCACCTCGATCATCTTGCGCTCGCTATAACCGCACGACTCCCTGGCAGCCTGCACCGAATCACGCCACGAAGCAGCAGCCAGCGAAAGAGGCATGAGCAACAGGACAGCCAAAGACCCGTGCCGGTCAAGCCTGGAACCGGCACCGAAACTCTAGTTACACAGCTTGAGCTAAAGCCAGTCGCAGCATGTTGCGCATATTCTAATTCGTACACCTGCAAAGTGTACAATTCCAAGACCTGAAATCGATCCTCTCAAGTAAGGATCCATCAATATCTGTGTTTTGCCCCCACATCGGTGAACTCACCATGGGCTGATTCTACGCATACCTGGAGTCTCCATGAACCTTAAGAAAATGGGGTCATTGCCCAAAAGAAAAGGGGTCATGGCCCCATGTTTCACGGGTCAGAAGGAGACTCCAGGTACGTGTTTATGACAAGTAGTGTTAGTCAGAATCATTCGAAGTCGGTCTGGTCCCTCAAGCTTCAGGACAAACTTTCGTGCACCCCTGCGGGGCTTGAAGGCCTGATTGAGGGTTTTCCCTTTGATATCACAGAAGCTGGCAACCCAAAAATCCGAGTTTCCTCTGCCTGAGGAGCTTCAGAAATTCTGGCCTCAAGGTTTCCCCTGGTGAATTACTCTCCACATGCTCTCCTCCCTCTCTCGACCTAGACCAAACTTCTCTCCAGCTCAAGCCCTCTTGGCTCGGACGTCGGAAGCGCGCGCAACCGCCCGCGCGCGCGCAACTGCGCGCAACCGCCCCCCGCGCCTCTGCCTGCTCGAATGGCTCTAGGCCATTGATCTCGGAGAGCCCCAGCCAGTGGAGGTGAATCCTAGTGCAACCGAGAGCACCAGTGGCAACGCAAACCCATGGCATTGCACGGGCCTTGTTTGGAGCTGGTGTCTCCTTGTTGGTGGTAAATGGAAAACCGAAAGGCAAACCACCATTTAGTTGTTTGTTGTGTTTTTGTTTTGTTTTTTTGGGGGTCCCCACAAAAATGAAACACCCATATAAGTGGTCAGTGGCTCATGTGCTTGAAAACAAAGTGGCTGGTGGTCACTAATAAGCGAGTTGCAGGCTGGGCAGCGTCCACTTCGCCCAACGATACCTGGACATCTATTCACATATGCCTTCTTCAGAGTTAGCTACCCTTGTCACGAAAGTAAAGGGTGTGTTTTCTTGACGGGAAATCAAAGGAGACTAGCCATCTAAGGGTGCTCCTTCATCCCATCTGGGCCAAGTAATGTACTGTGAATCCTGAATTTGTAATCAAACACATGTGGCTGCGGGTCAAAAATAGGTACCCACAATGGAACCCTGGTAAATGGAACCAAGGACTACAACCTGCGGTCCCCCGGTGGTTTAATTTTGACCCATACCCATGTAATGAGCGCAATCGACGCTTTACCCAAAGGTCGGCGAGGTTGTGAACTAATTGCCCAGATCTTCTGAGGCTACCCCTGACCGGGGGTAGTGTCCGTCAAGGAAAGCAATAGTTTGAGGAAGCTCACCTTTCTTTTTCATGGATGCTGCTCGTGTGGCCCATGCCATGATTTGCGTCATGACCTCTGACTTCGATACGCCCTAATGAAAAGCTTTGGGACCAACGCCAGCTGGTATGCTCAATTCAACCTGCAGCAGGTGTGGCTTTTTTGGAGCTACCAACTTGTTTGGGCTTCAAAAGTCGATTCATGAGGCCTGAGGGGGGGGGGGAAAAGAGGGGGGGGAGGGAGCCCACGTACATATATACATATATATATATATATATATACACATATATATATATATATATATATATCATATATCCATATACGCGTGTATATATATATATATATATATAAGGCTTCAGGCCTCCCCCAGGCCCCATGGCCCAATGACTCACCGAAACCCTCAGATCAAACCCGACATTCTCCTCTTCCGCCGAGGCTCCGGGCGATTTCAAGCGCCTCACCCGCTCCAGCGCCGCGTCCTCCTCCAGCGCGTCGTACTCCGTGAGCTCCGCCTGGCGGCGCGGCTTCGCGCCAGCGCGCTGGCGCTGGCTCTGGTCCATCCGAAAATCCCGGGGTTCAGTCCCAAAACCCCTTGTCGATTCCCTACCTTGTTTCCCTGCAAGAAAATAGGTTCATTCCCAAATGTTCCCAAACAGGGATACTGACATGAAAAACACCTGAACCTTGCCTTGTAAATGGTGGTGTCCCTTTGTTTTGGTGTTGAAAAAGCCATGGTTCAAGCGGGCAAAATGTATCTTTTAAGGAGCCCTGGACACGTTTCAAAGATTTCGTTGGGGGTCACTCGATTTCACCAAATCAAAAGTTGATCCATTTAAGGGTGGTTGTGTCCTCCCTGTTGACATCAAGTTGACTGGTTCCAGTTTAAACAAGAAAGTTGCTCGGTTTCTTCTCCGCATTCCCCCTTTTTATAGAAATCACGACACAGGTTACTCAATTTGCTGGTGGTGCCCATTGAAACTGCCATCCTTGTACAGAAATCGCTGGATGTCCCCAAATCAACAGTTGATCCATTTCCTGGTTTCCATTGAACGATCACCACTTTTCGTGGTTCCAGAAAAGGAACCTGCAGGAAAGAGTCAGATGGGAAATGCATCTGAAGAAATGTGAAACCTCTTGGACTTCGGAATGTGCCAACTGGGTTGTTCTGAATGGTGAGAGGTGCATTCCCAGATTTTCTAGGAACAAGCAAGAAGTCCCCGACGCCCGAGGGAAACAGGGTTCCATCTAAGAATCACCTGCCTAAAACCACGGGGATCCCCGAAATGCGCGTTGGCAAACGCGGAGTGAACTGGTCCCAATGATTCTTGGGACAATCGGAAACTTGAGGAGTTGTTTCTCAAAGGGCAAAGCATCCTGAGTTGAAACCGCATGGAAAAACATTATATGGCTCAAAAAACCGGTACCAAAATGAAACCCTGGTAAGTGGAAGCATGAACCAAAACCTGCGGTTTGCCCCTCCTGGTGATTTTTGAGCCACACCCATATATCAATGTATTGTTTTGGGTACGCGTAAAATTACAGACAGACCCCTGTTCAGGTTACAAGTGAAACGGAAGGGGCTTCTTTTCGGAAAGGGGTGAAACGGACGAAGCCGGGC